TTTTTTGATATTGATGGTATTTATAACTCTCAAAATGACAGAATATGGGCTTCAAATCGTGTTGAAGCTGATAGCATCGGAGGAATCAAGCAGCGAAGAAAATTTCCTGAACGTGTTATGGTTTGGTTAGGAGTTTGTTCAAAAGGTGTATCACCATTAGTTATTTTTGAAAAGGGTACCGTTAACCATGAAAGGTATATTGAAGAAGTTTTATCAGTTGCCAAAAAATATGGCAATAAGGTATTTGGTGAAAACTGGATATTTCAGCAGGATGGTGCACAAGCACATACACACCGATTGACACAACAATGGTGTCAGGACAATTTTCCTGATTTTATTCCTAAAGAACGTTGGCCTCCAAATGGCCCAGATTTGAACCCATTAGACTTATCTATCTGGGAGGAACTTAACCATGCTATTGATTGGAGTCGAGTAAGTTAAAAAAAAAAGTTAATCGGTGAGTTAAAACGTGCAGTAAAGAGAATTAGATTTGAAATTGTCTTAGAAAGTTGTAATTCTTTTTCAACTCGATTAAATCATGTTTGTGAGAATGGTGGAAACTATTATTCAAAAAAGACATTATCTTATAGAAAAAAATTTTCTCTACCTTTTGAATCTATTTTGAATGTTAGTAAGTTAATATCTTAGTAAAAAAAAACTGAAAAATAAATGGTATCATTCTTTATGAATCACCCGATATTTTGCATTTAAAATTTGTCCTTCTTTTTTTCAAATCCTTGGATGAAAGAATGAGAAGGAGGGGGTTTAAATAAATCATACTGTCCAACTTATTATGTAAATGACTATGTTAGTCTTAAACTATATTATACCATAAAGATAATGATGGTTAAAATGTTTTAAAAAACATTTTAATATTTTATTGGTCAGAGGCCCCATGACCCTCCTTTGGACCATAAATGTTTTAAAAAACATTTCAATTGCTTTTGTTACAAAATTTAAATTTTTCTAAAAAGATGAAATTTTTAAACGCAGATTTGATCAAGTATTAGAGGGTAATTCCATGTAAAACTAGGACAAAAAATTGAAATTTTTTTAGTCACCCTCTCAGATTTCTTACAAATTTTACCCAGTAGTACCTATCAATGCAACATGAAAAAATTCAAAGTTTGAGCTCTCGAATCCAAATGGTTCAAAAGTTATGACACAATTTAAAATATTTGAAATTCAATCTAAAACACCCTATTTTTTTCCACATCAGCCATTATGGACTTTGTATTAGTACTTTTTAATGAATAATTTAAGATCTAGTGGAAGAATTAGGTTAAAAATTGGTACCTGACCATATTCAAGGGTGCTAAATGCAAAAATGTAGAAAAAATAGTGAAATTTAAATTTTTTGATGGTTATTATTTGATTTTAAAATGATCAGTCAAACTTTTTGTTCTGTTATTATGGATTGTGCTTTCATTAACTCCCAGAGTTGCCCAAGTTTCATGGATACAATTTTTTTTTTCAAATGAAATAGGTGATCCTAGGCTATCTTTATAAAATAAATGGCTTTGGTTTCTTAAAGCATTATAAAGATATGTCATTTTGAAATTTAGATAAAAAATTCCTTATTTGGACTCAAATTCTCTGTCGTAAATTTTTTAGCAGTTGTATATGCGTAAATAATTTTTATTGGAAGAACTGACTGAAAATTGCTACCTAACCATTTTTGAAAAAGTTGAATTTAAACTAGAAAAGAAAATAACTTAATTCAAAATGTCTGATGACTCTAAAAAGTCACTTAACCCTAAAACGAGGTAAAGTTTTCACGAGTTGCCTGACTCTCATAGTTTCAGTTGTGATGTGTAAAAACAGTTTATTGAGGTTGGTTTATTGAGGTTGGTTTTGACATATAAATGAAGTTTTGTTAAGAGAATTGTTATGTAAAAATATAGTTTTGCAATGCTTGCTATGATGTATAAATATAGGTTTGTGACATTTGTATTAATAAAGTTTTACACCCCAGTTGTTTAAACTTAAAATTATTTTAATTTTAGATTAAATAATTATTGAGTCTTGTATAGTAATCAGTTTCTTAGTTATAGCAAACAGCCAACAGTGCTCCATTGGAATCAAACTAGAAAGTGAATGTCATCTTTCAACATTAACATCGTTGCTTGGAGTCTTTTGAAGATATTCCTGACAAAGAAAGAGAAATATTAATGTGGAGGACTGGGCTATCAATAATCAATGTCAAACCAACAACTTTTCTCCATCATAACTATGTTTATTTGAAGTTTTGCGCCTAAATTAACACGATACTGCAATCCATTCAATAGTCATAACAAAGTTATAAAAGGTATCACATGACATGATATCACAATAGTAATCACATTAATAGTAATCACAATTTTTAATTTTGTGAAAATGAGTTACAATAATCTGTATTTTACTTTAAACTTTAAGTGATTTTATTCAAATTTTTATACATAATAAAATAGTTCATCCTTTTTTTTAGGCAGTCTTTGTGAAATCAACTTGGATACAGCAAAGTATTTATGCAGTAAAAGCAAATTGGTAGTGCCAGGCAAAAAACTTTGTCCACAATGCAGACATAAATTTGGAAATAAAATTAACTGCAGATAATATGAAAAAAAAAATAATAAAAATGGAATCAACAAGATCATTGCTCAACAGTACTTTGTGTGAACTTGAAGTGTCTCTGCTAAAAGTTCATTTAACAAAAACCTCTAACAAGCCTTTACTTGGAAAGAGAAAGATAAAGTTGAAGAAGCAGTTATTAAGAAACTTGCTACTGCTCTGGATGTCACTGAATCTGATCATGTTATACCAAACAACAATAAAGTTCTAAAGGAAATTCAAACCAAAGCTTTAGACTTCCTTGTTGAATACATGAAAGAAAAACTTAAAGTCTCTAACAGGAAAGCAGCAAAAGAATTTTCAGTTTCCAAACACAAAATTCAAAATGCAAAGCTTTTATGTGACCAAAAAGGCATCATAGCATACCCTAATGTGGTTGAACGGCATCAAATCAGTAAAGATGTTATAGAACTTATAAAGTTTTTTACTGTGACGATGAGTATTCAAGGCAAATGCCAGGTAAAAAAGACTTTGTAAGTGTTGGGAAAAAAAAATACATGTCGAAAAAATTAATTTTGTGTAACTTGAAGGAGTTCTATGTGGCATATAAGATTAAATACCCAGACCATAAAATTAATAATGATTTTGCTCTAACACTTGACTTCAATACACAAATTTACAAATTAAAATTGACAATGTTATGATGTCACAATACCTGTTTTGCAAATATGACGATTTTTACTGGTTTGATATGGTTTCTGAAATTGATAAAGAGAATGATGATTTATGATAAAGTTTATGCATCCACATTATCCAAGTCGGTCGTACTATTGGCCAAAGCGAAATGATAGTTGTTGGGTGCCAAAAATGAATGTCATTTCGCTTGTTAAAATGCTATCAACATTTTCTGAGCGTTAGTACCACATCTCTAAAGAAGATGAAACTCTATTTGAACAGCTTTTACTCTGTCAGTGAAAGTTGATGAATATTTTCTTTCTTTATTTAAATTATACAAACTTTAATTTTGGTAATATTTAGTTATTCTTTTTTCTTTTTATTTTTTTAGCTTTTTTCAATAAAGCAGATTTTTTGTTATTTCCTCAAAAATGTTTGCATTTTAGTTTCTTATTTTTAACACAACATTTGAGCATACAATCTAATATTTAACCATGCAACCAATATTTTGAAACAATACCTAATTTAATATTTAATTAAACTAAATTAAACCTAATTAATAGACATTAAGTAATAATGTTAAACTATTATAATTAATATAGAAATTATATTTTCAATGTGTTGTTTGCTACTCAAATATTAAAAAATTAGGTTAATTTCTCTTCATCTTTGTATTCAATATCTTTAAAAATGATCAGGTACCAATTTTCAATAATATTTCTCCACTAAAACTGAAATTATTCACACAAAATGTATTGTTATAAATTCCATAATGGAGAATAGAGGCTACAAAAAGATTTTTTTTGTCTTAATTTCAAAATGACATATCTATAAAATTATAAGTAAAAATGCTTTAAGAAACCATAACCATCTTTTTTATAAAGATAGCCTAGGACATCTACTTCATTTGAAAAAAAAAAAATTGAATCTATAAGACTTAGGCAACTCTGGGAGTTAATGAAAGCGCAACCCTTGGTAAACCAACAAAAAATTTGACTGCCTATTTTAAAGAAAATCCAAGAGGTGACTGAAATGTCTGTCCCAGTTTTAAATGGAATTACCCTAGAGAGGCAGTTGATGAACCTAATTTTTTTCATTAGACCTAAGATAAAATAATGATATACAATTAAACTTTTTACTTGTGATTTATTACACAGCATTATTTCAACTGATATTTCTGGAACCCATGTGTATTTTTAACTAAAATTTTTGCAATTATTATTTTTTTAATATGGACTGCAAGTGAAGTAAAAATGAACAAGAGATGTATGGGTGTCGAAAATATTTTTTTTTGATAATTGCGTACGGAATTACCCAGCAGATAACAGGAAGAGTTACAAAGCCGCTATCAAGGAGGCACAATCAAAAATATAAGTCGATTTTAAGTCAATTTATTTATTATTATTTATACATCAGAGATTTAAGCAGAACACAAACATCATATAGGAAGTATTCAAGTTTTGATAATGTTTGACATCATGCTGAAATAGCTGCCAGGGGCTTAATAGACCTGCCAAGACAGGTTTTTTTTTCGTTATTCTTTGTTTTTTCCTACTTTTTCTGAAAAAACCAAGAATGCAACCAAGATACGCAAAATAAGATGAGCAAAATTGCTTATCTATATTAACTATAATAGAATATAAAACTATAATAGAATATAAGTAAAATATAGTAAATATCAAATTCATCAAAGACACACAAATAGTATAAGTAGATATTTTAAACATTTAAATTATTTAATTATAAATTATATAAAAATAAAATAGAAATCTTACTGATAATTTGTAATAACCCAAAGCAATAAAATAAAGAAAATCTCTAGAATCCATATTTGTAGCGCAAAGAGCTAAATTAAAAAAATTGTTATTTAGTTTTCTTTAAGAACTGTAAACTAAAGTTCAGATCGTTTAAATGGAAACAAAAACTAATTTTATCTGTGAACTTAAAATATTTAAAACTACATTTTTATATTACAATGACATAACAATAACAATAATAGCAATTTAAGCTGTGTTCTTAAGAGAATCAAAAAAAAATCTAACAGCTGTAGATGTTAGATTTTTAACAGCTGTTTCTCACAAAAAATTTCAAGCTTTTTTTTTTAATCATTTATTAATGTGGCAATAACAACTTCATTATCTAAAAGGTATTGCAGTAGTGGTGTAGTGGTATGGCGCTCACTTTGTATCAAGTGATAGTTCCAAGTTCAATCCCCACCATGTCTACAGTAGTATTGCGCTCAACTTGTTTCTCCACGCAGTGACCTTTTTTTATCAAGGTTTTTGTTTTTAAGTCATAGAGTTGAGAGAGGGTTATAAACACATTTAAATAGAAAAAAAACTGCTAATCTCCTCTCTCTTCCTTGTCTGTAGTGACCTTCTTGGCCTTGGGGAAGTGAATTTACATAAAAATAAAAAATTTTAATTGAAAAAAAAAAATGACTCCAACTTTCCCCAATATAGATCATGAAAAAATGATGCCTTAATAGAAACTTTTATTGTGACCTTTGGTAAGTTTGCATAATAATTCTGGCTTCATAATTTAAAATAGGTATTTATTACACCATAATAAAATGTTTATGTCTGCATGTCCATTTTTTAGCTCAGACCTTGATTGCTTTATTAAAATTCTTTCTGCCTTAGTCATATGGGTGTTAAAGTAAATATTTGGTATCTTTTCACTGCTGAAATTTTGATTTTAAAACTTGATTTCTAACATACAAATTATCAAGTTTTTTTTTTTTTTAATTTTATTTTAATTCACCTCCTCAAGGCCGAGAAAGCCACTACAGACGAGGAGGCTACTTATTTGTGGCTATAACCCTCTCTCAACTCTATAACTCCGAAACACGAACCTTGACGAACAAGACCGCTGCGCGGAGAAACGCGCAGCGGTCTTGTCTTTGTTTTAACTTTTATTTATATTTATTTTTTATTTATATTTACAATTTTTTTCAACTTTTAGTTCCCATTTTTAATGCATTCTTTTCTTTTATTTAAATAATATTTCATGAACTGATTTAAACCAATTATAATAACATTGTTATTCTTTTTAGCTCTCTCAGTTGTTTCATTTGCTACAGTGTTAGTAATATTAACTCTTTTAACTGGTTTTTTAACTAATTCTGATGACAGAAACATTTCATGACCATTTATTAAACATAGAATGCTATTATTAGCAGTTTTTTTTCCTAGCTTTATTATTCTTTCTTCTAGATATTTAACTTTTTCTTTTTATAATTTAACTTGTTTCTAATAGTGGTTAACTTAATAATGTAAATAAATGTCTCTCACAAAACTTTTTTTTTTGGAGGCATGTTACTACTGTTTTGTTGACTTTTTACTTTTTGTTCAAAAAAAATACATTTGTCATTCTTAAACAGTGTGCTCTTTAATCTCTTTAAACGTTTGATATTATTAACTTTTCACCTTTTTATGATTGCCTCGTTTTTTTTTTTATTCAACTTTTTATAATTATAAAATTATAAGTAAAATTTTTGTAAAAAACATAAAATATTATACAAAAAATCTACCTAAAGTTTATCATTGCTAATCATTGATTGTGGAACATAAAAATATTTCAAGCATTCAAATAACAATTTCAAGACTCCAATTTATAAACTATATGAGCAAAAAGAAAATTACAAACACACAAGTTCAAGATCTGCAATAGGCTGCAATCAGAAAAAAAGAAAATTACAAACACACAAGTTCAGGATCTGCAATCGGCAGGTTATGTTTAGGATCATGATCACTTTTTTACTGGTAAAATTTAAACCATAACAACCTGCACCATATCCTGCTGCTCTGAAGGATTCGCTTGTCTAAGCAAATGCTAGGAGAAGTTAAATCAGACTTAATATCCCTGCCTTGGGGTGCTTGGTTTAGCAAAGGCTAGAGATGATACCTTTATAAAAATACTCATCTTAGACAGATTGTAATTACGTATTAAGCGGTTTTTGTAATGTTGATTTTTCTGGGTAGTTATTTTATATACATTTATATAAAACATTTGTAATGATGAGTGGGACAAAAGAAAAGAAGTTTTGTTTGGAGCGAAATAATTACATTTGCAAAGAAGTTAAAAAAGAGCCAACTGACTCTATGCTCCAATATTCTCAATTTACCATTTTAATGTTTTTTATGTCAGAAAAAATCTTCAAAAAAGTTTGCTCTTTAGCTCTATTTTTTTTGCTTTTAGTTGAACTTGTGTTGAGTTTTTGAATGTATTGAGTGTTGTGTTGAATGTTGTGTTAAGTGGTTGCTTGCAGTCTTTTTGGGAGTTAATTGGTTAAAATGAAAAAATCAAAATTTTAAAGAAAGCTACTGCTTGATAAGATCTGCTAGTGTTCATTCTTTGCATTTATTGCTTTTATTTCAAAATATTTTAGAATTTTTCTGATTTTTAGTATATGACTGCATAAATCTGGACTATCTGCTAAGCTTGAGCCTCTTTCCCATCGTCGTAAAGTTGCATCACTTTCTCTTTTCTAGAAATACTATCATGGTCACTGCTCAAAGGAGTTATCATCTCTAGTTCCATCAACTAAAATTCATTCTCGTTTTACTCGTCATTCAGCTAAGTCTCATTCGTTTACTGTATCTGTCCCTGCATGCTGTAAAAACTTTTATTCATCTAGTTTTTTGCCCCGCACTTCAATCCTTTGGAACTCTCTCCCATTTTCATGTTTTGCTGACTCATACAACCTTCAACTTTTTAAGTCTTCTGTCAACCGTTTCCTTGCTCTATAACTCTGTTCTTTTTTTTCCTAGTAACTCATAACTTAATAGTGGTTGCTTGCAGCCTTGTTGGGAGTGAATGCAAATAAAAAACAAAAACAAAAAAATTAGCTCAGAATTTTTTCAAGTACTTGAATTTATATGTGATTACAGAAGAATTGAAAAACTTTTTATTAATATGAAGTCAATGTGAAGCAAAATGCTTTTCGTTTTTTTTTTGCTAATAATAAATAACTTTCCTTCATAGATACTACCTTATCAAATGCTAATTTTTCCATACTTTTCAAAATAAGTTTTAATTCATGTTTTAATTTTTTAGTTCTGCTTTTTATTATTTTTAAAATCAAAATTTGAAATAAAAAAACTTTTTTTAAATAATGACCTAACAACATTTAAACATTAAAAAACCAAAAAACAATTTATTTCACTAAAAAAAGTATAAACACTCATAAGATAGTACAAACCTTCAAGTAGTTTAATTCCTTTCCGAATATCATCTTTATATTGACTTTTTATTAAACACCAACCATATTGAAATTGTGTTTCGGGACTAACTTTTCCTGAGCGTAATTCAGCATTATAACTGTTTTGAAATCTCTTTAAAAATAAAGTTAAGTATGCATTATAGATGTTTAAAAGTAAGACATAAAACAATATTATATATGAATGAAGTAAATTACCGAAAAATCTTCTTCCCTTATATAATCGTGAGTGTGAAAGTCAGCCATAATATTTCTAAATACAAAACAAAAACTATAATACCAAATATAATTGTATATAAAAACTGCGTATTACAACAAAATTTTCTTAAAAACCATTTTTTTGCTGTTATAACTAATTTATAACTAAGCCTTTTATAATAAGTTTTTATAATAAGTTACTTTTTAGTTTATTATAATATTTTAAACCTTTCGTGCTGAATTGAAACCCAATAAAATATCTCTCAAAAACTTATTGTGCTTAAAGACATTATTTATGATATAGTTATTTAAAAGTTATTTAGAAATAGTGATTAAGAAATATTAACTTGCAAATATTTTTCATGTAGTAAACACTTAAGATAGCTTACAAAAATATGGTATTGTTTGACATTTCTTACTGCAAAACAGCTTAAATAAAGTAATAAAGCTCTTCAAACAATTAATGAAGTGAATGATTTTAGCGATTTGTCCTGTAAATCTTCAGAGCCTAATGTTAACAAGCTTCAGGAGAATGAAACTGTTAATTGCTCACCAATAGCTCCATCATCAGCTAATTGGATATTATCATCAGAAATAATTTCACTATACTTGAAGATTATGTTATTTGAAAATATGACAATAATGATTAATCAAGAAAAACGGATATCACAGTATTTATAGCAATTTGTTTAGCAATATAGCATAATAAAACCTCTCTGTACCAAAGTTACTGGAGAAAAATTGTTTTTTGCTGCTTCATCTTTTAATAATGTAATATTCTGTAAACACTTTAAACAATTACCATTGCCTTCATGTAATGAGATTGTTGCAATACCAAGGGGTGAAAAAGGTTTTAACAAATTTTTTAAAGTACATGTTAAGCTAGATAAATTTTGCCTTAAATTTAGACACTTATATAAATCAAAAAGAGATTTATATTGGTGAGAGCATGATAACTTTTAAGAAAAAAATTGTTTTTCAAAAATTTAATTTGAGCATATGAACAAAAATTAGAATAAAAGTTTTAGTAATAGCATAGCTAAATAGTATATACATATCTACATTCTTGATTCACACTGGGAAAGATATTGATAAATTATTGCACTATGATCTGTCAGCTAAACCAAGATTTTCTGAATCAAGTAAACAAACCGTGGATTTATCATGTCAATATATCTAAATTGGGAAAGTAGCCCATCAAATTAATTATTTTCATTTACAAAATTATTTTATTTTTACTAAGTAACATCAATTAAACTAAGTTTTAAAAAAAGTTTGACGTCATTAACGAAAAACATGAATTATTTATTTTTACTTATTTATATTAGAAAAGTGATAATGATAAAAAAATTTTGCACTACGTAACAAGTTTATATTTACTTCTAAAATAATATAACTATCTATTTTAAAGGCTTCATTAGCAAGTATTTAAAAATTACAAAGTTTAGATATGGTAGATAACTTATTTACCAATATGAAATATTGCTGATGTCATCAGCCTAATTTTTACCTTATTTTAATTTTTAAAAACTAAATTCTATCTGTTTCCAATTGATATATAATTTTCAGAAATTATATGAAAATTATTTGAGTGTTAACATGATACAGTTTTGCTTTTTTTAATTCGTCAAAATAAATTCCGGCACGAAAAGGTTATTATAAAAAATTTTAAGTTCTTTCACTTCTATCGAAAACGGTAAAATACTTATTTACATTATTTCATTTCCTCGAGAGAACATATTTACTAAAACATTTTTTTTTTCTATCATATGATATTGATAATTTACAGAATATTGACGTTGTTTGAGCGCTAATTGAGAATTTTAACAAAAATTTGAAAAATTCAAAAGCACTTGAACGTTTTTGCATTTTTCAAATTTTTATTAAATAGATAGTTTTACGAATTCAAAACAATTGTTTTGAATTCTTAAAACTAATTTAGAAATAAGGGCATGTGATAAGATCTTACTTAAGCTCTTATCACAGAGCATGTGATAAGAGCTTACTTAAGCTCTTATCACAGAGCATGTGATTACAGAGCATGTGATAAGAGCTTACTTAAGCTCTTATCACAGAAGAGCATTTAACTAGGAAAGTCATGCTTCCTTCGTTTATTTTTAGTTTACTTCTTGTCGTTTATTCGGCTAGAACAGGTATCAAAATATCGACCTCTAGGTTCTTAGTCAGAACTCTAACCACTGTACCACGGCTGTATTATGCATTCTTTTGTAATGGATGTATGAAAGAAAGCTCGTTTTGGAAAACTTTTTATTTCTAGTGCTTCTGTTACGTAATAAATAACGTAATTGTTATTTATTTTTAATATAATTTATATTGTGATTGTGGCATACCGTATTTCTATATGCTATAGCCTCTTGTTCTTTAAATTCTATATTGCGTAAAAGTTGACTTCAAAAGGACTATGCTGTCTTTAAATCACTGTTTGATATAAAGTACCGCTACCCAAAACAAAAACGGACCCTTTTTATCACCATACAGCGCTATGTTTGTTATTTAGCAAAACAGTTTGTTATGTGTTGGTCCTAGCCAAAAATGATGGGGAAAAAGAAGTAAAGAAAATGTTGGAGAAGTTGGTCAAGTGTAAATTCTTTTAACTGTTTTATATGGGAAAACCAAATCTACCGGGTATTAACAGGTCAACAGAGCTTAATGAACTTTTAGGTTCTTAGAGTTATGTCCTGTTTAAGGTAGCTGAAGTTTCTGTTACAGAGGTAAAAATTGTATCAAGAGAGATGTCAGTCAGACATTTGATATTTTTAAAAAACTTTTGAAGCTGCTTGAATGTGTCAATGACTATACTGAACGGAATATCCGAATGATCAAGGATTTTGTTGTTTGTCTACAGGACACAAAATATGAAAAAGTTTGTTTTGGTCACCATAAATAATCTTAAAAAAGACTTGACATAGAAGGAGCATTTGTATTCTTATGGGAATTCCTAAAATCCAGGGGAAACGGGAAATTTATGTTCTTAGGGGAATTCCTTATACCTATAATATTTTTTAAAAAATAACTCATTTATATCATTGTTTTGGTTCCATTTTTTTTTCTTTTCTTTTTTCTTGTAAAATCGGTGTGCTCTCTATTCCCTTGAAGTTAGTTAAGAAAATAAAATAAAAAAAAAGAGTTGCAGAAATTGCATACAATATAGAAAAGAAAAGCTTTATACGTTCTTAAAGTTCAACATAAAGATAGCGAATCGGTTAGTTAACAATCTTGATGCTAATAATCAAGTAGAAAAATATAGTAAAGGGTTAGGTTAGCATTTCTGTTTCAAAATATCATTCAACTTTTTCCGTCTTTCTTTGAAAAAAGCTATGCGTTCAGTCATTTGATTGGTGTTTCCTTATATGATGAAATTGATTGGTGTTTCCTTATATGATGAATTTGATTGGTGTTTCCTTATATGATGAAATTCCAAACAAAATAATTGTTGTTTTACTTCTACATTTGTATAAGGACTACAAATTTAATCTGCATATTAAAAATTTATTTAAAATTAAACTTGTTTAAAATTTATAGGCATTTTTAATTTCTTGCGCATAGTTTGAATTGGTTTTTTTTTCTTGACTTTGCTTTTGCAAATTAGTCCATCACTTTATCTAAATCAAGTTGGCAAGCTATTTCTTTCTCAATTGTTTTAATAGCCTAAGAGATAAGATGATGTTGTGGCATGCTACTTCTTAAAAATATTTTTTTAATTTCAGTTTTAATAAACTTCATTTTGCTGTATCTATCATCATCGGTTAAGTTAAAAAAATGAAGCATGCTACAATAATATAACAAGAAACTACTTAAGAAACTTTATTCACATAATTAACATAATTATAAGAAGTTCAGCAGTTTAGCTTATAAAACCGTCTTTTAATTGATTATAGAAACAAACTTTAAATTGAAGCAATTGAGGTCTAAAACTAGATGAAATTTTGGAGAGAACTATTTGTAGACCAGAAACTTATTAAAAATTTCCAAAGTATTATTTAACTGCATGAGTATTTTGCAGATTATCAAACCAATAACCTGCTTTTTGATATCTGTTACAGCTATTTTTTAAATGTAAGAATAAAAAGTTTCCGCCAAAAATACTATTAATTCAAATCTAGACATTTATTAATTCAATTCTAATCTAGACGTTTAATAACACTTGCTTCAAAAAACACAACATAAAAAAACAACTTTAAACCAACTATAAATATTGTTAACTAATTTTTTTTGAACTTTTATTTGCAATGCTTACGATATTTTTAAAAAACTATCATTGGATATTTTTTTAAAAGTGGATAACTTTTAAACATTAAAAACTACAATCTTCTGTGAAGTAGGTTCTAATCCCGCTGGTTATCTCGCACGGTACTTATTCAATTCACTTCATTACATAAGCTGGATAAGGTTTGCTGGCAGACTTTATGACTGCAAACAAGATGACAAAATCCTTGTAGATTTCTCCTGGGAAACCAAAAGAAAGTATTATAAAAAGAAATTATTATAACAAATATAATCTATTTCTTATTTTTTGACTATTTATGAAACTTATTCAGACATTGACTAATTCTTTGTCCATCCAAGCAAAAAAAGATTTAATTTGATTTAAATCTGGCGATCAATCCTACCAGAACTAATTATGTTTTGACTGTACAAGCTGTATGGGCAGACACCATATCTTGTTTAAGGTGGTACTACCCTATTAAAAACATCAAAAACAAAAAAAAAAAATTTTTCAAGTTTTAACAGCTTGAACATCCTAAATTACGAGTATAATTTTTTTTCCCTTTAAAAATTAATATAAAGTACTCAAACTAGTATTTAAAGGCAACAAGGTAATTTTCGAATTCCTAGCAACGGCCTTAGCAACCATGCCTGTTTATATATTTGCTCTATTTTCACTACTTTTTTGTTAGTTTAGTAAAAGGGTTATATGACACAGAACAAAATATTAAAGGTGGTTAATCATATTTTTGTGGTCAGTTTGGATATATTTTTATTAGAGATTCTTTTAGTTTATGACATTTTTTATTTTAAAAGCTGTTTTTCTCAGAATAATATTTCTTAAATATTTTTAAACTAGAACATTAATATCTCAGAAACTATTTACTCTTTTTCTTTGAAATTTTCATAGCTTGTTCATTGATGTTGTAGAAAGGGCTGGTAGTAAAATAATCAAAAAATACTTATTATTTCAACCAGAATTTAAAATTTTACATACCCCACGAACCATTTTTTATGACTTTTACAGGGTAATATCTGCCATTTTACTTTTGCTCTGTAGTTTTAAAAAATTCTACTAGGGGCCCTCCATCAATCATTTAGCAATATGTTTGTAAAATTTAAAGCTTTTATCTCAAATTTTACTCAAGTTATTTATGTTCTTGTGACCGCATGTTTTTTGCTTTTTTTTTGCTGACTCAGCTTTTTTTATACAAATAATTAAAAAAATGATACTTTTTATATTCAGTTTTTTAACTACTATCGAAAAATGTTTATCATTGTAAGAAAAATATCATATTTTGAAAAATAAAAAATGTAGGGTAGTACCACCTTAAGTTGCAACCATTCCTTTCAATTAGCCGGGTTTTTCTCAGCTCAAGAGACTCTACAGCATCGTCTATGGATCCGCTTTTCTCCAGCACATGACATCTAGGGTTGCCAATGTTCGGACTTTACAGTGGAGAACTAAAGTTTTTGTTTTTACAGGTTTGGCGCTGTGTCTTCTGCTTAAAAGCCGGACGTCTAGCAATCCACTTACATCATACTTAAGGAAAATTCCTATTCAGCATTACATGACCCCATTACGTATACATTGTTTATGTTTGAGATAAATTTTTATTTTTAATTATTATTTTTAAATATTAGTGCAAAAAACAATAAATAGTTATAAAAAAATAAAAAAAATTTAAATCTATACCGTAGTTTTATAAGTTATTTAATAAGAGGTATTTAATATCAGTACAATAACATACAAAAATATAAAATTGTTGGATTGTTCCTTATATAAATGTAACTGCAAAAAACATCGAGAAATCTAAAACACTTAGTAAGTTGTTTTAGAATTTTATTAGATAGTGTTAACTATCTAATAAAATTTTATTAACATGTGTAACATATTACACATGTTAATAAAAGCTACTCTTTTTATTAATTTTTGAATATTTATTTAATAACAGTACAATAGTATATAAAAATTTAAAATTGTTAAAATTGTTTCTTATAAATGTAACAAGTAAAATTTTAAAAATATTTTCTAATAAATTCAACAAGTTTTGTTACGTTACTATTATTAGTTTTTTCATTTGATTCTTTCATTACAACATCTAGTAAAAAATCTAGTTACTCTAGTTAAAAGTATACTAAGTTAGTAATGCAGTATCAGAATAAATAATCTATTCTGATGCATCTTTTATTATATTAAACTTAAAATTATATTAAACATAAAAGTTCAGTAACTCATACCTTATATACGTATACTAGTTATACATACAAATTAAAAAATATGGAATACATAAAATCCATTATGTTTTAAATGTTTATGCGTAGCAGATTTTATAATAAGTTTACTAAATATAGTAATTTAAAAACTCATTTTTTTTGAAAGAGTAAGTTTAGATTAAAACAATTTATGACTTCTTTTGTTCAGATCAATGATTTATTTAACTAATTGTCTTTTTTTCTTTACCTTATTGTCTATTTGTAGCATATTTATGCTGGATGATCATTGATCTTAGTATACTATTCAAATTTATTAAAACAAGCCTTTATAGTATTGGTTTGTTTAACTGAGTTATTAGGTGGTATGTACAACCAAAGCATATTTCTTCTCAGAATTTTTTTCAGGAGGAAGTAGAGTTTAGTTGATAATGTACTTAACTAACAGTTATCAGGTTTCTTTTAGCAATCTTTAAATGAATTAAGAGATGATCTCTGTGTGGCTTACATTGTTTCAAGTATAGTCAATAGGTATTTCTCTTCATTTGATACTACCAAAGTTTTAGACTGAGTGCAATATGTATATTTATGACATCTACCTGTAGTTCAATGCAGTATGTATATTTATGACATCTATCTGTAGTTCAATGCCAATAGAACAGGTATTAATGTTTAATTTAATATGAAGAGTTTAATTTAATTCAAATTCAATTGAAAAAATTAAAAAAAAAAAATTGAAATTAAAAAATTTTATTATTATTGAACCTACTTCTCCTATATAACTTTATTAGTAAAATATATCCAACACAAAGATATAATAAGATAAAAACAAATAACATGATAACAATATATTTTTAGATATAGTTGAATTCTAAACTGTAACAAGCTAATTTTTTGTCCGTACATTGAAGACATGTACGGAAACTAACTTGTAAAGACCTGTTGGTAAATAGAAAAGTTCTTTATAAAGTATTATTTAACTGCATGAGTATTTTGCAGATTATCAAACCGATAACCTGCTTTTTGATATCTGTTACAGCTATTTTTTAAATGTAAGAATACAAATTTTCCTAACTTGTAAAACTAACTTGTAAAGACTTTGCTTTATTTCGTATTTTTGGTGTTTTTCAGATTTTTACAGTGAGAGGTTAAATTTTTTTATTTTATTTTAAACAAATTTTATACAATGAATACGATTTTTAAATTCAGTTGCAAAAAACACAAACATAAAAAAAGAGAAAACATCATTGTTACATTGTGTTATACTTTTAAGACTATTCAGAAATTCTAAAAAAAAACCTACAACACTCTTTTTTAAAAATTGTTTTAAAAATTTCTAAAAGTTTATTTGTTTTAAAAAAGCACTTTTTGTTTTGTGAAGTTTTGTAAATCTTATGAATAGTTTTCTCTTTAATTTATTTTCAGTTTTCAAATGAACAAGAAGTACTTTATTGTGAGTCCAAATGAAGAAGTGAGTTACTTTTTTGTTTTAATTAATTTTTTTTATTGATTAAGTAAATTTAGATAATATTAAACTTTAAAAAAAAATTTTAATTTTTCATTTTTAAAATTTTGACATCAAATCATTTTCAGAAAATTGTATAATTGCATAAAGTGGCATATTTTTTTCATTTGTTTATATAAATGTTATTGCTAATATTTCTTATATCATTAACAAATAAATATTATTATTATTCTTCTTCTAGGTTGCTCTTCACAAAAAAGCTTTTGAAGAAAGTAAGATAAACAGATTAAAAAAAGTGAGTATTATATTCATTATAGCATATAAAAATATATATATATATATATATATATATATATATATATATATATATATTTATATATGCTATGATAAATATGCTATAATAAATTCAAGCAGCCATGGCGCAGTGGTTAGAGTTTTGGCTCAGAACTCAGAGGTCCGAGGATGGATGCCAGCTCTAGCCCAACATGCGACATTGGTACGGAAGGAGGTGTGAACTTCTTGTCAAATGCTATCCTGCGGTGCTCTGTGATAAGACGGTAAGGACTTCTGGGAGCACCTAAAATAACTACTATATATATATATATATATATATATATATATATATATATATATATATATATATATATATATATATATATATATATATATATATATATATATATATCAACCATTGGAATAAAGATAAATAAGGTCAGCAATTTTTTGCCAACCTCAAACACTTTGAGGTCAGTAGTTAGATCGGGCATTGCCAAATGCCGATTCTAGTTCCAAGTACTATATATATATATATATATATATATATATATATATATATATATATACATATATATATATATATATATGCATATATATATATATATATATATATATATATATATATATATATATATATATATATATATATATGTATATATCTATATATGTATATATATATATATATATCTATATATATATATATATATATATATGCATATATATATATATATATGCATATATATATATATGTATATATCTATATATGTATATATATATATATATATATATATACATATACATATACATATATATATATATATATATATATATATATATATATATATATATATATATATATATATATATATATATATATATATATATATATATATATATATATATAAATGTCTATATATGTGTGTGTGTGTTTATGTGTTAGGTGCGGGAACAAGAGAAACTTGCTTCAACATCACTTTTAAATCAAACTAAAAACATTAACATAGAATGTGTCCAAGATATATTGAAACATCTTAGGGTAGGTTGTTTTTAATATTTAATGTTAATTATATTGTTTTATACTGGTTTTGATGCAATGCTAGACATTCAAATCATGTTGTTGATTTTCTTAACTATTGTTATCAGAAATTTTTTCAAGTTCAATCCATAATTCTAAAATATTTGTTAATGCTATAAAGTTCATATTTTTTTACGTTTGACATAAATTTCCACTTTTTTATTGTATAACGGAATTTTTTGTATAATTTTTTATAGTTTCCTGGTTCTTCGTTTGATGCTTGCCAACTGAAAAATGTATTTCTGAAATGACAATAATAATAATTAATTGGATTCAGACAGAAACGGAAACTTTTATTTCCTCATCAGTTTTACATTACTTTTATCCCAAAGCTTTGCTTTTGTTTGAATGAAATAAACTTTAAACTAACTGCAGTCTATACTAACTGTGGAATTTAGAGAACAAAACAGTTATGGTTGCTGCCCATGCCAATTGGAGAATACCTAGCTTATTGTTCATGCTAAAAAAAATTATAAATTACTTATGCATCAGTTAAATGGTTGATGCATTGGCTGGCCAATGTCAGTTGCATCAACCTAATAAAAATAAATGATTAGAAACTGCTGTTACTTATAGGATGGTGAATGGTTTTTATTTTAAGCAAGACAAATCAAGAAAAAAATTAAGAAAAAAGTAAAATAAATCAAATAACAACATCTGATTTAGAATATAGTGGTAGGTGTTGCAGTGAGATAGTTGCAGTAGCAGTTGCAGCAAGAAGATAGCTAACAATTAAGATGACAGTTAAGGCAAGAAGATAGCTGTAAAGTTTTTTTTGTTTGCAAAAATTGGATTTAAAATATAAAAAAATTTATTTCCATGCATTAAAATTTGACGATTGAATGTATAATTTTGGTGGCTGTTGAACATTTTTTAGAATAATGTGGTTTTAATGTAACACAAAAATCTAATCCAATCCTTGGCAAGGCGAACTGTGCTGCCTATAGTATTCCCATAGGATTTAATTCCTGTGACCTTTAAATCTAAATGTCCTCTACAACCAAATCATATCTATATTTGTAATGGTAGTATTTGGTATTGCACAAGACCATTTTCCTGGCCATCTGTTAACTTGATGCTCTGAATAAAATTTTGAACAGTTCAAGATATCATTCAGAGCATCATCTGTTGACTTGATGCTCTGAAGCATGTCATCTTGTCAATTTGAAGAATTAAGTTTTGCTTGTTCATATTTAGCAAGTAATATTATAGCTACTCTAAGATCATAATGATTGAATTCCATATGACTTTAATGTTTATAGAGCAAATAAGATATTTTTCTCTATTGGTTGATAAATGTGCAATCAACCATGGAACATGTGTTTGTTTTGTGTGTTCCTAGCACACATATTTGCATATAATAATAAAATAAGTAATTATCTATAATAGTTATGAGTGGTTGAAAATATTTTGCTATGATTGTGTTGTAACTTAGGTTACTATGATTGTGTTGTAACTAGGTAACTATGATTGTGTTGTAACTTTTTCTTTTTTCGAATAATGACTTTAATATTTGACATGACACATTTTAATATTTTAATGTAATGTATGATGAGGCTATACATTTCAAAATAAAATTTCTAAAATAAAATAAAAACTTCAAAATAAGTTTGCGCTAGAAAAAAAGGTTGCTAAATCTATTGACATGCCAGGTTCATGCAAGGGCATGCCATCTACATAGGTATTTTCTTAACCTTAACAATATTTTCAAATAAAATGATAAAGTATTTTGTTCAGCTTAAAATTATATTTAAACCCTATTTGGTATAATAATTAACTGATTACAATAATTGTTAAACATTTAAATTTTATGTTAATAAATTAAAATCAACTGTCAATCACAGAAAATAATAGATTAATGTTTTCCTAAATCAGCCAATTATATAGTTTTGATTATTTATGTATTATGTATTTAATTTTGAATATTTGTTTACAAAAATAAAATTAAAGTTTAAGCTTAATAGGCAATTCAACCAAAAAAACACAAAAACTAATTTTTAGTATATATTTTATTTATAGTATATAGGTTGAGTTTGCATGATTAAACTCAATCCGTCTAATTGTTATAATAAATTGTTATAATTAAACTTGACCTGTATAATTATTAAAATAAGTTATTAATTAAACTCAACCATATAATTATTACAATAACAAATAAAAGCTTTACTTAGCTCGTACGTAACTTTACTTAGCTTCTTCACGACGTCTTGTAGCTTTGTGACTTTTTAATGTATTAGCAGTGAAGAAGGAGACCTTTATACATAGGGGATGTGGAGTTTAAACCCATTACATTTTAGAAGAACTTCACTTGACCAAACAAATGTCAGTCAAAAAATTGCTTTTTTTGACAGAAATTTGTTAATATATAATTTGTTAATTTGTAAATGTGTTTGTCATTCAAAGTTTCAACATATTGTTTCTGAATTTTTTTTCTATTTTAAAAAATGCTTAAAGTTTGATAAAAAAAAAGAAATTTTAGTTGTTAGTTAAAAATATTTAATTGTTTAGTTATTTTTTGTATTACATTATTTTTTAATTTTTTTTATACTTTTTTTTTGCTTTAATTGCCATTTTATAAATAGATTGAATTTGAAGGAAAGCAAAAAGAAGATGTCAACATACTGCTTGAACAACTCAATAATAGATTAAAGAGCATTGGCGAAGGGCACAATATTGCTAACAAAGTATTTTTTTTTTTCTGATTATATTTTGTTTTTACATTAAGTAATTGAGTTATGTTGAACTTTTTTATTGTAAGTTTAGTTGTATTTTTAAATTTTTTGATCTATATATTATAAACTGAATTGTAAAATTTAATATTCTGTTGTTTAAATACAAAAGTATTAATTATATATTATATATTAAAATATATATTATCATCTTAGTTAATTAGCTTTTTGAGTTTTACTTTTTTGGTTTTATGTTCAAATCCAACCTACCCCTGAAAGTACTGTGCTGTCTTGTTTGAATAACTAAATTATATATGTTGTGGTTTAGTTTATGAGATATAGGAACTTAAAATAAGTATAAATGTGTTTTAGATTTATAACATCTTTGAACATCTACGTGTAAGACAATCTTTTGATGAAATTTAAAATATCTAATGTTTTTAAAAAAGTTTAAAACTAATTCCATTTAAATAGAACTTCTATCGAATACAAACATAGTAAACTAAAAGACATATATATGGAAATGTATTGATTAGGAACAAAGAAGTAAAATAAGGAAACCAAAAAATCATAAATAGTTCTTCCAATTACAATTGACAAACTTTAAAAAGTTTTTTTTATAGTTCAAATATTATAAAACTATTATAAAATTTAATTTAGTGAAACTTTTGTTGAAATAATTTGATCATGAATTTTCTAAGGAAAACTTTGGCAAAATGAAAGAGTTAACTGTTGCAGAAAGAGCATTAATTACAAAGCGTTACAAAAGAGCTATTAACAAGGTTGTCTTTTATAATTTTTTTTGTACACTTTTCTTTTGTTACTTTATTATCTTAAAATCGCAAAATTATTGAAATTTTGTTATAAATTTATACAACTAGTTCCTTTTTTTTGTGGTTAATATTTTTAGAGTTAACAATATTTATAAAGGCTTAACAATAGTTATTGAAAGTTTTTTTTTATATTAGTGTGAGCATAAAAAATTTTTGAATTTTCTTTATTAATGGGTGTTATCTCAATCAGCAAAAAATGCTGTTGTTGCACCTTGATGTGTTTTTCTTTTTTTTTGCACCCATGGGTGTATACTTTTTAGTCTATCCATGTGCTTTCAACAAGTGTGCAAATATATGTTAGTTTATTATTAGGCTTACGTATATAAGATTTTTTAAATTATGGTTTCCGTTTTTCTTATTGTAAACATTACACTACTGTTAAGTAATTTTATTCAATGTTTACAATATTTATATATAATTACTATGTTTATATAACAAAAATCTATGTTTAATCTGTTAATCTGTTCAAAGCACTTTATACTTAGAACTTAATTAATTGTTTAAACAATAATGTTAAATAGACAATAGTTAATTGACAGATAACTTTTAAAAAACATATATATATATATATATATATATATATATATATATATATATATATATATATATATATATATATATATATATATATATATATATATATATATATATATATATTTAGATCTTGGAAGAAAAAGCAAAGAATGAAAATTCCATTGCAGAACAGTCTAAATTAAGGTATAACACTTAAATAAATATTGTAAAAACAAATAATAGCCAAACTTTAGTAATAACAAATAATAGCCAAACCTTTGCTTGTGATGAAATGACTGAAAAATTTCCCAATACTTAGACTTAAGGTTTATAAATTTTATAGCGATTCCCAATTAATGAAAGAAAACTTCACTCCAAATTTTAGTGTCTGACTCCTTATGTTTCCAGAGATATCAAAACTCAGCCTCAATCTCTTTTTTTTTTAGCGTCATTTGTTTATTAAGCTAATACATAACACAACATAATTTAACTTATAAAATACTTAATCAATAGTGTTGAAATTTTGTACCTAACGGTATTACTTAAATACTATATAAATGTATATATACAAATATTGGTATATTATGCGGTAGTGGTGTAGTGGTAGAGCGCTCGCTTCATAAACGAGTGGTTCCGAGTTCGATCCCCACCACGTCCCTGGTAGTACCACGCTCAACTCGTTTCTCCGCGCAGCGGCCTTGTTCGTCAAGGTTCGTGTTTCGGAGTTATAGAGTTGAGAGAGGGTTATAGCCACAAAATAAGTAGCCTCCTCGTCTGTAGTGGCCGTCTCGGCCTTGAGGAGGTGAATTAAAATAAAAAATTTAAAAAAAAAAAAATTTACAATTATATTTATATATACATATAAGTAATATTTATATATACATATAAATATATGTATATATAAATGTATATATAATGACAATGGAACTAAAAATATTATCTATAAAAAACCACCTCAATCATCTAATTGTGTAGTTTATTTTAAAGTTTTTACTTCATAGGTTCTTATCTCTTTCAAAAATTGTCTGACCTATATAGTATTTTTGGTATTTGATAGGAAGCCTGGAACCTATTTTTTATTACTTTATTCCTGCTTATTCCTTAGTGAAATACTTTCCTTATTTGTCATAGCTGCTATTCCTATCTGATTTTGAATAGATTTTGTAATGCAAAGCTTTTTTGAAAATGAACAAGTGCAATAGAAAGTAAATTTTGACATAAAATAATTAGATTTTCTATTCATAAAAAGAATAGATTGTCAACTTTAGTATTTAAAACTTACTTTAGTACTAATTTTAATATTGTTTTAGTTATAACATTTTAAATATTAATACCCTCTTGACTTTTCTTCAAATACTTGTATATATCAGAATGTTGAAAAAAGTAAGTAAAAAAAGACCTTCATTACCAAATTAAAGATTTATTTGAACAAAGAGTTCAATATATTGCGCACATAATATCAAAGATAAATCAAATAATATATTCTTAAGATAAGATGCTCCTAATATAATATCCTAATATACATTTTATATTAGTAAATATACATTTTATATTATATATACATTTTATATTATATAATTTTAATTAAAATCCTAATTTAACATATTAAATTTTCTCAGGCAAACACTCAAACACACAAAAGTTTTCAAAACCTGTATTTAAAATAGTTTGAAATAGGCTTTTACTTTTACTATTTTTAATTTAATAACTAAATTTTATTAAATAATTAAATTTTATAAACCCAAAATATTTAAATATTTGTAATTATTTTAAAGCAGGTGAGGACTAAATTAAAAAAAAAAAAAATTAAGCAAAAAAATTACAAAAGAATTTTATATTTAATATAAAGTATGATATTTAAATAAAAATTAAAATAAAAATATAAAAATAAAAATTAAAATAAGCAAAAAATTTAAAATTTTTTTTTAAGATAAACAATAATAAGTAATAAGAAATCTTTAAGAAATATTTTTAATCTACAATTAGAAAATCTATAAGTAATGATTAAAAATCATCAAAGCATTCAATAAAAAAAACTTGAAATAAATAGTTTTCATATCTCATAAAAAACATTCATCTTATACAAGACTTTGCTTGAAAATAATTATCTTTGCTATTTTTTGAGACTCTTCCATCTTTTTACAACAATTCAGCGAGACAAAAATAAACATAAATAAAGTATGTAAAAAATAAACATAGTTCTTAAAAGTTTTTGGTTTTTATTTTTCTTTATTTTTTAAAGCTCGAAAAAGAAGTAAAAAACCAGGTTATAATCTTTTTTGATGTTAAATTCTTGTATTTCCAGAAACAAGATTGTTGCTATGGAAGAAAACAGAAAGCAAACTATTCTCTTACTTCCTAAACCTTGTCCTGATCCAATCATTGTATGTTTAATTGTTTGAATACTTGCTTATTTGCATTTTTTTGTAAATTTTCTTCCTCTTTTCATTTTTCATTTTTTTCTCTTCTTATTATTTTTATTGTTGTTGTTGTTATTATTATGTATGTATCACACTATCTCATCTGTATACAAGTGTATGTGCCAAAAAAAAAGTAATGTGAAATAAAATAAATTTTCTTAGGAGTTTTATTTTATTATTTGTCTTTAGAATTTGAAGCCAGTAAAAGGTTTGTTAATGGTTATTTTTAATATATATATTTGTTTACAGACTTTGTATACAATAAAAAATAAAAACAACAATAACAAAATATAAAAAGTTTAATATATTTATAGTAAATAGTTCTATTACCAAAAACCAAACTGCTGAATCATTTTCATTGTCTTATCATAACTTGCAATCTACTTTACAGCAAGCACACTATCCAGAAATTTTTGTAGAAAAAGTTTTAGATGAAAATCAGGTGACTTGTCTAATTTATGATAATTATATTTGAGTAGAATATAAATTTTCTATAATAATTATGTATTCAATATTTACTTTTAATTCAAAACATTGAATTGGTTGTTCACAACAAAGTTTTAAAAGCTTATCATTTTAATTTGTGTCTGCCATTTTGAATTTGCAAAAAATTTTAAACTTTAGATAAATGCTAAACTTGCTGCAGATGAAGAGGAAGTTAAGCATAAAGCTCTTCTAGAAGTAATTCTTATTCCTTATATATAATTAAGTTCTGTGTGTTGTGAGTGTGTTGTATGTGTGTGTGTTGTTTGTGTGTATGTGTTTATGTGACATAGTAGTTAGGTATCTTCCATATTGTTATGGCACATTATTATTACAATAGTAAAAATGTGTGTTAAATGTATAATAGTAAAATAAAATTGTATATTAATTATATATGTATTACAATTTATATTTTTTGGTTGCTCTTTAGTTTCAATTGTGAGCTGTAAAGCAAACATCTCAAATTGAAGGCGTTTTAGTTATAATTTTCTTTTTATTTATAAATTATAGTTTTATCAATAGCAAACTAAGTTCTTTCTATACCTTAGAAATACCTTTAAAACTTAAATAATTTAAAGTTTTAAAGGTTTTTCTAAGAGAAAAAATATTCTTCTAAAGAGAATTTATAATGGAAACTTTTAATTATGTATATATATATATATATATATATATATATGTGTGTGTGTATATATATATATATATATATATATATATATATATATATATATATATATATATATATATATATATATATACATACATATATATATATACATATATATATACATATATATATACATATATATATATATATATATATATATATATATATATATATATATATATATATATATATATTTATATATATATATACACATATATATATATATATATATATATATATATATATATATATATATATATATATATTAACTCATAATTATTTATATAAACTCAAAATTTTAATTAAAGTTATTTGATATTTCAAAACATTAATCCTTGCTTTACTACCTTTATATAATGCCTGATAGAACCTTTTTGTTATAAGGCTTAGCAAGTAAGGGTTAGCGAGTCAAATTATAGCTAATAAGAATAGAATGATAAGAATGATTAAGAATAAGGAATGATTAAGAATGATTAAGCGAGTCAAGCTGAGTTATTAAAGAGAGAGTAATAAGAATAGAATGATAAGAATGATTAAGAATAAGGAATGGTTAAGAATAATGTTTTATAGAATTACAAAATGTAGCAGAATTTCAGGAAGAAACAGCTATAACCACAAAGTTCATAATGATTTAGAAAAGAAAACTATGTTGCCATAACAGAATTCATAGTGATTTTGTTTTTGTAGTGTATGCTCAAGCATGTGACTTTGCGTCTTCGTGAATCAGAGAATAGTGGCAATCAACACTATTTAAATTTGTCACATGAAAAACAAGCAAGTCTTTGTAAATTTTTCAACAATGCAAACGTCTGGTAAATTTTTCAACAATGCAAGCAAGTCTGGTAAAGATTCAACAATGCAACCAATGAAAAGGTACTTTGAAGACCACAAATATTTGTAAAAGATAGTTTTTAAAAAAAATTTATGTTTCAATTTATGTTACTGCAGTCAAGTTTTAAATTATTAAAGAACTTAATCAATCCAAAATCAAAACAAAGGACTCACTAATTACAACAAAAGCTCTAACAGGAACACCCTCTAACACCCTCCATGTGCAACATAGAAGCTTTGTTAATACTTGATTAACAGCTCTAAAACAATTATATTTTAGAGCTATTGATAGAATCAGCCTCTCTGAAAGCTACCACAGAGTTTGGGTAACATTTCTACTAGTTTGCCTCAGAACCATCTAAATGAGTTTTAGAGCTGTACCTTTATTAGAAGATAAAAATAATAGTTGCATAGTTACCAAGGAGGCACATACAAAAACTTAAGGGTAGAATCAAAAAGATATAAAATTCATACTTCTCAGCAGGAAACAATTTAACATGGGTTATTTTATATCAATAGCTAATAAAAGATTGCGAGGTCTATTGGAATGAAGCAGCATGATGATGCTGCATTCCAATGATAAAGTTCTCTAAAATTAGTATTTCTATTGAGATTTCTATTTTCAGTTTTTACTTGGCCATGAAATCCAAGTTTTTTAAGCTAGAGTTTTTTTAAAAGTTTAAGGGATTAAGTAAAGGAAAGTTAAATACTATTGGCCAATTAATTTTAAACCATTAAATACTACTGGCCAATAAATATAAACCATTAAATACTATTGGCCAATAAATGACAAATCACACTCTTTGTACAACTCTTTGTTTTGGACAAATTATTTTGATATACCATACATCACGCTGTTTTATTTATCATATTTTGATATACATGCCTCACACTGTTTAATTACATTTATTTTTATAACAATGTATTACGTTTATCTATGTTATTTATTTATGCTATCATACATTTATCATTAATGTTAGTGTTGCTATGCTATTTTTGTTAAGTTATAGTTGCTATTGTAACTAAGCTTTATTTCTTACTAAAAAAATTTAATTTATTTTCATGTTATTATTTTTTGCATTTATTATTGCATTCTTTTTTGCATTTATTATTGCATTTTTCATGTTTTTATTTTTAATCATTAATTTTTGTTTTTAATATGTATTTCTAATAAATATTAAACAAATTTTTAGAAACGTATGAACGAAAATAACGAGAGACTAGAAAAAGCTGAACTACGACATAAACATGCTCTTCGCGAGATTCAGTTAAAACAGGTAATTTGTAATGTTAAAAATAATTATAAGAACTACGATAAACAAGTTTTTTTTTTTATATTCTATATTATATACTAATTTGGTGAATTCACCCTTTGCAGCTATGAAAGCTTCTTCTTTCCATGACATGATGTTATTTCATCTTATTTTTTTCTAGCATGTATAACATGTATAAGAGTATATAATCATACAGTTAATCAGACAATACAGTTTGGGTTAAAATTATCACCAACCCTCTGTTGCAAAAAATATTATTGCATTCAGTTGCAAAAATTATTATTGCATTCAGTTGCAAAAATTTTATTGTCTAAGGAGAAAATCAATCTAAAATAAAATGTTTGAAAATTTTATTATAATTCTTTATTTATAAAATAAAAATAATTTAAAAGTTATTTTTTTTCTAATCATTTAAATCTTTTTTATTTCATGGTTTTTACAGGTTTTTTTAGGTTTTTACAGATTTCTTTACAATAACACACAAATTAATTAACTCAAATTAAGCTCATTTAAGGGTTAAGGGTTAGCAAGTCAAATTTTTATACAATTACTACTGTTATCTTATTGTTATCTTACTTATTAATTATTATCTTATTGTTATCTTATTTGTTACGGGTTATCTTACTGTAAAGTTACTATCATTATTAAAAGCATTCTTAATTAATGCCTCAGCTTTTAGAGTTGTTTACTTAACAGTTTTTGAGAAGCACAAATGTAGGATTTTTTTTATTTTTATTTTTGAGTGCATTCTTTACAAAATTTGCTTTGATATTTCAATTCCACTTGAGATTTCTTGTTGCAAATAAGTTGTGTTAGTAACTGTTGCTTAACATTTGTTTTCCATTATTTTACTTTTTTGAGCATTTTTTCCCTTAACTTATAAATATTAAATAAATCTAAATAACACTACAAAAAATGTAAATAAAATTAAAAAAAAAAAGAAGTTAAATAAGTATATACATTGGTAAAATCTATTTTAAAAGAAGTAAATAAATATCGATTTGAATTATATGAAATTAAATTAAGTATATGTTAAATGAAGTAAATCTTTTTTTTAAGAAACCCGAAATTATAAAAACTAATTTTTATTGGTGGTATAAAAAAATCTTTATGTATATTAGGTTTTTAAACTTTGGGAGTTTAAGGAGTTAATAAATAAGTTAATAAATAAGTTAAATAACTAATAAACAACAGCTAAGTAAACAATAGCTTTTGTACTGTTTTTTAGCAAAAAGAAGATCTTATAGGAGAACTGGACCATCTTGAGTTGAAGGAACGACTTAAAAAGAAAAATATTGCAGTAAATGTATATATTTTGTTTTTAATTCAGTTTTTTATTTTTTTAAATTAATATTCTTATTTGAACAAGTATATAAGGTTTTTAAGTTTTCAAATTTTTCTTTTTTAATTTATAGTTTTTTTTAAATTTTGTTTTAGAACAAGGTACCAACGATTACACAGTATCAATGGTTACAAGATTCAAAAATGAAGCAGATGAGTTTAGAGCAAGCATTCGAAAATGCATACAATCCAACAGCAGGTTTTTTCTTTTAATTTTAGAGAAATTATGAATTCTCCAAAGTTCACAAGAAGAATAAATAATAAAAAAAAAATGAAAAAATTGAACATGAAGATTTTTAAACATTTCAATTTTATGGTTATATTGTTTTTAGGAATACTTATGGAAAACTCTTTTAAGACAAATGAATTTGATGATTCTTCTGAAGGTAAAAAAAATAGTTGTTTAATATTATTAGAATCTTTTATAAAAGTATTTTTTTTTTTTGGTATTTTTTAGTGATTATTATTATTTTTTTTTTTTAGACACAGATAGTAACATGGTTAGTGATTTTTATTATTGTAACCTATAATATTAATGGGTGACAGGAAAAATTAATAGTGTTGTAAAATCAACTTTGGAATAGTGTTAAATATATAAAAAAAGGCCTAATGTCGCAAAAAAAAAAGGGAATAGTGTTGAATATATTGAAAAGGCCTGATGTTGCAAATGAGTTTAACAAATAACTTCGAGAACAAAAAAGGAATAGTGTTTCAAATGAATTGAATGAATTAAATGTACAAAAGGGAATAGTGTTGAATATATTAAAAAGGCCTAGTGTCGCAAATGAGTTTAATAAATAGCTTCGAGAACAAAAAAAGGAATTGTGTCGCAAATGAATTAAATGAAATGAATTATCAAAAGCAAAAAAAGGAATAGTTTCACAAATCGTAAAAGAAATAGTTTAGCAAATGTTAAAAAGAATAGTGTTGCAAATTGTAAAATCAGAATAGTGTCGCATATAGTAAAAACCGATTAGTGTCCCAAATAGTAATATTGAAAAACAAAAACAAAAAAAAAGGAATAATGTAGCTTTTTTAATTGAGTTTTTAAAATACTGCTATAAGAAAAGGTTTTTAAGAAAAGAAATTAAATTATTTAATTGGTGATACAAACTTAGATTGTTTTAAATATTACACATGAATATGAATATAATTAAATTTTTTTTAATAATGTTTTTTAATGAAGGAATTTTTTTAATAAATAACCAGATAGTATCATAACCACTCATTATGAGTCTATTAATAAGGCAGCTGTTGCAGTTACCCTCATTTGGTTATATTACATTATATTATATTACATTATATGACACTCGTCATTAAACTCCTTTGCAACATTATATTTTCCTATTTCTATTTTCGACACTAATCATTAAATTCATTTGCGACAGTTTGTGATACTATTCTTTTTTCACATTTTCAACAATCAAATTTGCGACATTAAAAATTCACAACAATCAAAATTTTGTGATATTAGGCCGGGTGAATAAAAAAAAGCAATTGCTTTTAATCAGTTATTGGTCAGTTTTACATGAATAAAAATCTAAGCAGTTTTGTTCAAATTTTTATTTATGTAAAGCTGAGCCATTACTCAGCATTTTTGGAGTAAACTGCTTAACTTTTTGTGAATAAATAAAGTTTGACTGATTTTGCTCAAATTTTTATTCACGTAAAGCTGAACAATTACTCCAAAAACACTAATAGCATTGCTTTTTTTTTATTCACCTGGCCTACTCCTGTAACCCATATTATTCATTTGGTTTTGATACTTGCATATATTTATTCTGGACATTTTTTTAATAAAAACTCAATCTTTAAAATATATTTTCAACAAAGAAAAAACAAAACGAAAAATTAACACAAAAAAAAATTTAATTATTTATTTTATTATATTCAATAATTTGTATACATAGCATTTATGGTTATTGTGTGTTACAGTCCAAAAATGAAGTTCTTGTTCAATCACTTGAGCTTCAAATAATTCCTCAAAAAAATCTTTTTTGTGATTTTAAAAACTGACCTTATAAAATGGTTTTTTGAGAAGATCCTTTAACCATACTGAAGTTGCAACAACTTCTTTAGATTATTAATAACTAATAATCATTAGTTACATCAATTAGTTGTTCTTGTTAAAAATTAAAACACATCAGTGAACCTGACATCGAACACTATATAACACTAAATAACACTAAACAATTCAACATGAACAATTGCTTAAACATTTAATTTATTTTTTAGCTACCAACACCCAACCAAAGTGAAAATGAAGTTAAAAAATTGAATGAAAATAGTTTACCAAGTATATTTTTGAATATCTATTTGCTTTTATATAGTTTTTTTATGTAACATCATGCATTCTGTGACAGAAATCATCATAAAAAATAATGAAAATTTATCATTTGTTGAAGCAATATTGTTTTTAAGGGGTGGCTTTAGTTTTTCCAATTACTTTTGGGCCGATCATTTGTTTTCTTTAATAAAATTTTTGAGTATTTGCTCCCAAATACTTTGTATTTTTTATTAGTTATATTTAAATAAATGTAATTTTGACACAGAGTTTTTTGTAGATTAAGTTCAAACTCCAAGATTGTTACTGTTAATTGTTGATGTTGCGGATGTATATCATTTATATAATTTATGAATTATATAATTTATGAATTATATAATTTATGAAATGTAAAAATAGATGCATTATTTACATTTTTATGTTGATATGTACATATGCATACCAGAATATGCATACCAGAACTGCATATTGGGTAAAGTTAAATGCATACTGGGTAAAGTTAAATGAGGTAGTGGTGTAGAATTTCAATAAACTTTTGAAATATAAGGCATTGTTGTTTCTTCTCGCAACAACTTGTTTCTCCACGCAGCAGCCTTGTTGTCAAGGTTTGTGTTTCAGAGTTGAGCGAGGGTTGTAACTACAATTTGAGTAGACCCCTCCTTCCCTTTCCTCCTTCATTCTTCATAGCCTTGAGAAGGCAAATTAACATAATAAAGTTGTTTTTAAAATTAACAAGTTCATTACAGTTAAATTAAATAGTTAATCCCCTATATTACTTTTATATTAATTTGGTTTATTTATTCCAGTACCATTAAGTCGCCTTGAAAAGTTGCGTTTGCACATTAAGCAACAAAAAAAAGATCAATTGAAAAGCTTAGAAGGTAATTTTATTTTTAAGTTTTTTATTTAACTAAAAAAAGATTTTAAAATATTAAAAACCAAAATAAAAACAAAATTCTTATTTTTCTATTTTCTATTTTAACTTCCATTTAAACTTCTTCATTTGTTTAAAAGATTTAGTTGTAAATAAAGCTCCAAGCTCTGATCAAAATGAATCAAATTTATCAAAAAATGAGTCACAATCATCAAAAATGATTGCAACCCATCAGGCTGACAGTTTACAATCCATGAATATTAGTTCTGCTTGTGAAAGGTAAGAGCCTAATTATGTTAGCTTGAATTTTTAGAAATAGGTTTTAAAAGCAAAGAATCATATTTTTAGACTTAAAGTTTTATTTTAAGTTTCCAAAATATGTTTAGACGTTCATGGACATCAGTTGAATTCAGTAGTTGTTTTAGACATGCGCCAAGTGTAGGTATTTATAATTTTAAAATTATTTTTCTAATATTTAAAAAAATCTTTTCAAAATTTATTCATATAAAATAATTAATGTTAAGACCAATCTGCATCATCCAGTGAAAGAGGATTATCAAGTGAAAGAACATCATCTAATGAAAAAACGTCATCAAGAGTAGAAGTGTCAAATGAAAAATTAACTTCCGCAAAAATTAATTACACTCAGCATCTTCTCGAACACCAACAGCAGGTTTTAAAGTTTCAAGAGTCTCTCCTAAAAACACAAATTTTGAATACAGCTTTAACGTCTTCTTGTACCAATCATGTTACTACTAGCTCAGATGCCATTACTCAAAAATTAACACAGTCATCTTCTAAGCTAAGTATGTCTTCCCGACACTCAGATAATTCTTCTCTAAAACAGTATTCTTTAAGCAAAGTTGACAACCATTTCTCCTCTATTGGACATCACGCAACATCACAACAAGCTAGTGAACACAGTGTAATTTTAGAAAAAATGACTTGTGAGGTTCAAATTCAAACTTCATTTATAGAGGTTGATGATGCAACGCAAACTTCATTTAATGAACAAAAAAACAATTTAGAGTATAAAAGTTTTAATGAAAGTAGTAAACCTCAAGAGAATATGCAAGACCATATAATACCTAAAGAGTACACTCTAGACTACCCAAAACACACAAAACAAAAGTCATCAGAAATCAAAAATAGTTCAAAGTTAAATAGTGATGTAGTTTCAGAGAAAATTAAAAATAAGAAAATTGCTCTTCGCCAACAGTATCCTGAACTATTCATGAAAAATTCTACAAATCCAACAGATTCTATAGATCTTACAGATTCTACAGATAGAGTTCGTAACTACAAACAACATATCAAAGATCAACAGGTAAAGCTTAAATTAATTCGTGATTCTAAAAAAGAGAAAAAAGAAACAGAAATGGAAATACCCATGAATGATGAAACTTCAAAAGAAAAAACAGAAATAACTGTACCCACAACATTTCTTGATACTAATAAAACAAAACAATATAATCTCTCTTTTTCTTTACACAATAATATTGATAGAAAAGATAACAATAAAATTGATATGCGTAATATTGCAGAAGAGTGTAAGCAGTTGTCCCAACAATTAAAACAAACTAATGTTACTGATGGTACTAACCACAAAAAATTTATTGATAAATGTTCAGTTAATGAGTTTTTATTGAAGCAAACCAATGTTGACCCACAGTTATGGGAGAACCATTTAACTAAAACGAAAGTTGGAAGAACTTTAGATATACCAACAACTTCTAATGAAGCTGTTTTTGTAAAAAGTTCTAACACATCAGCAAACCTGACATCTAATAACTCTAAGCAATTCGATATATCACAATTGACAAGCTATCATTCTGTGGAAATGATTGATAAGGAAAATGATAGAGAATATGATTTTAGTTTAATTGATGATCAGTTGAACAATTTTGATAGTTGGTTAAAAAAGCATTGTTTTGCAGAAACAAGTCATTCAGTATTGTCTCATTCATCTCCGTCATTATCACCTCCTTCATCATTTCAAAAAGTTGAAGCTGATGCAAAAGTTCACATGTTGAATTGCTCAACCAATTTGAGTTATCAAGATTATTCTCATAGTAATATACCAGATTATTTTAAACGTGTTTCAGAAGATCCGCCGTTTTCTCCCATTTATGAAATAGAAGAAAAAACACCATTTAGAGAAAGTAAGTTGCTTTACATAAATTTTTTCAGTTTTTTATGTTCTTATTGTTAAACATCTGTAATCAACATCTTTTCAATTGTTTGAAACAATAGAATTAGTTCAATTAGCTTCACATTTTTTATTGATATGTTTAGTTGTTTTAACTTAGAGATCGTTCATAAATTTATTCTGGAAACACATAATAATGTTAATTCAACGTTATTTCGTTAATAAACAAAACGATCAAAAGTTTTCTTTCGTAAATTAAATAAAAAACTAAAATTATCAAATAAAAAATAGTAAGTTTAATGAAAATTGCTGTGTAAAACATCATAAGATCTTAAATATTTCAATTGATAGCATTTATTCAATAATAACATATTTTAATATCATAATATTTGTATTATTTGTATTACTAAACACACATTTTAAAATTTCAGTTAAATTTTTTTATATTGTTTTTAGTATCAATTGTATGTTATTTGATATAAAATTTTATTATTTTTTAATAATTTAAAACAATTTAATCATTAGTAATTTTTAAAATTTTATTCAAAATTTCAGAAATATCATATATATATATATATATATATATATATATATATGATATTTATATATATATATATATATATATAAATATCATATATATATATATATATATATATATATATATATATATATATATATATATATATATATATATATATATATATATATATATATATATATATATATATATGATATATATATATATATATATATATATATATATATATATATATATATATATATATATATATATATATATATATATATATATAATAACAATAAGCCAAAAACTCTTTTTCTTATTTTTTTGCTTTTCCCTATTTCTTCAAAACTTAATGCTAAACAATTAATATTTTGGTTCAAATGAATTGAAATAATGTAACAGGCATATAAAAAAACTCGATGGTGAATAATTTCCATAAAAGCAAGATAATGATAAGATTATCTTGCTATGATAAGAAAAACTGTTTTTTATAACTACAAGATCAAAGAGTCAAGTAAATTTTAAATGCTATGCTCAAGCTAATCTCTATTTTTATGGAAATTATTCACCATCAAGTTCTTTTATATGCCTGTTACATTATTTCAATTTATTTGAACCAAAATATTAATTGTTTAGCATTAAAATATATATATATATATATATATATATATATATATATATATATATATATATATATATATATATATATATATATATATATATATATATATATATATATGTTGATATTATAGTTGCTAAGGATAATATCCTTAGCAAAAATAATATCAAACTAGCAAAAAGCAACCCGTAGTAGGGGTTATAGTTGGTCTGTTACATAGCTAATTTATAATGGCTGTTTTCCGCAATTTAATGTTGCAAAACCTTAACTAATACCTTTTTAGAAAAACGCCTTTAAATTGAAAAAATTAATCTATCTGTAAAATTAACATAAAAAGTATGAGGAGGTAAAATAATTTACCAACTACTACTTAACAATTACAATTACTACTTAATATCATTTGAGTAATTTGACAGTGTTAGGCAGAGCCATTTTCCTCGACATTCCTACAAAAAGTTCAACACAATACGTTTTTAGTTACTGACACAAAATAATAACACTTCATCATGCTTTAAATTGACGAAAGTATCAACTAAATCTATGTAATAATTTTTATAACATGAACTTTAATTAATTATTAAAGTTAAGATAAAGTTAACTTATATTATATAGGAATTATAAATTTTTTTGTATCCTTTTGGCAAATTTTTCTTTAGAAAAGAAAATTATTAAATTAAAAACGTTAAATACACACAACTAAATAAATTTGTTAAAAATAACTAAGTTTATTATAAATTTAATTCACAATCATGTGTATAAAAACTTAAAAAAAATTGTAACAGAAAAGTAGACATTAAAATTTGTAAACCAAGCTGACCGGACCTGGGTCTTGTTAAGTCTGCTCAACACAGACCATTTCTATATTATTTGTTTTGCCTCTTTATTTAATTAATTTTTAGTAGATGGTTATTTGCTACCATTTACTAAAAATTGATTTTGTTACTCAAAATTTAATTTTCCTAAATATTTTGAAACATAAAAAGGTTCCCCCCTCTTCTTGCTTTAATGGTGGCCAGGTGAGTAGAACTTTTTTTTTGTTAAGAGTAATCAAGTTTTTGATGAAGACCTTTTACCAAATAATAAAATGTAAAACAATGATTTACATATATAGGAATGTTTTCTTTGTTTCCTCAAAAGTGTTGCAAATGCAGACTAAGCTAACTAATTAGTTAAACACATGAATAAAACTTAAGTAACTCGATATTTGACAAATGCACAAAACTACAATACTCTCCATGTTTTTAAAGGTTTTTAGTTACGACCCCCGTTTACAAAGATCCTTAAGATACGTACAACCAATTAGTCATAAAATAGTTAAAATATAAAAAAGAATGAACTAATTTTTAACTAAACAAAAATTTATAATAAAAGGAAATCAGATTTTTTTTTTTATAAAATCTTATAAATGCGTCATAACGTAAATCTAAAATAAAAAAGTATTTGAATTATGATATCATAATTACAAAAAAAATAAAAAATTAAAAAGTTAACTATATTTATCGTTTTACTAAACTTTAATAAAGTATATTTGTTTTTATATTCAATATTAGTAATTCAATTATTTCAAATTAAAGAGACATTTAAGCACCCTAAGCATATAAAGCACATAAAGAGACATTAAAGCACCCTAGACTTAAAGATTAAGGTTGCATACTCTCTCATACATATTATGATAAACATTAAAAGACATTATTATGTGTTTCCAGAATAATTAAAAAAAGCTACACAACACAACCTAGCTCTAAAGCAGTAACACCGCCTGGCACTAAATGCTGTCAAATCACACCTCTGCTATAAGTACACTGCTTGGCTGGCAAGGTTATTGAAATTGCTCAACATAATACCAAGTCATACCACTTTGAAAACACGAAAACAACATAATTTAAACGTATACTATAAACAAATATGACTTTATATAACACATATAAACACATTTTATAACAGTATTAAATGACAGATATGTTTATGAAAAACAATGAAAAAAATGAATAATAATAAATAAAGTTATACATACAAAATGTGCTCACAACCTTTAACAGTAAAATTTCGAAATAAAAATCTAAAGACTATAAATTAAGAACATTAGGAAATATAACATTATTTGTGTAACACTTTTTACCTACCATACCTCGAATAGGATGTTTATTAATTTTGAAAAACGAACTATTAAATGCTCTATTTCTTGAACATGTAACATGTAGTTGACCATGAGAGAAACAGTTTTTGAGATATGTCTTTTGTCTATAAGTTTAATTTCGCGTTATGTAATATATTTTACCTTAACTAAAAGTTAATTTCCAGCATTTCTTAATTAAGTTCCAGCTTCTCTCTAACTGTTGACTAATGATTAATTTAGTAAACTTAACATCATATTTAATTTACAAAACCATGTTTCAACAGTAAGCAAAATAATCAAGTGATGACAAAGACAACTAAAAAAAAAATGAACACAATTATGTTTGAGATTACAAAAAAAAAAAAATACAATCATTTAAATTTTAAACTGTTATTAATTGTTACTATAAACAGTAAAATTCATACTTTGCTTTATTCTAAAGTCTAATGTAAAATCAAATTAATAGACATCAACACCGCTTGACACTGAATTCTGGCAAGTAAGTTTTCTGTTCATCGAGCAGAATTTCTTACATTTCAAAAGCAAATAGTTTTATCATGCCTAAATCTATTTCTTTCATTTGACAATAATTTTTTCAAGTCGCCTATTACCATTTACACTAATAAATTCTTCAAGCCTAATGTTATACATCTGCGATCATTAAACATATTACCAGTGATTATACTACTGTTACAACTGAATAAATGAACTTAAAATAATTTTAGTAATAATAATCCTTTCTAATAAAAGATTATAATTTAAAGTTTATATATAGGAGTCGTTTATTAAGAATATAAAACAAAATTTATTTGCATTATTTTTAATTGAACAAAAAATTTAGACTGCAATGCACAAAGTTATTTTTACCTTTAGGCACAATCTTAATGCACAAAAATAATAAATGCAGAATCTTGTATAAAAAATGAAGCTATGTCAGTCTAAAGTAATATATGTATGTATATATATTCAAACTTTTTCTATTCTTTTTTATTTTTTCTTTGAGATAATATTTATATAGATACAGAGAAATATAAAATATACTGAAATATAGGCACATTTATGTATATAAACTTACCTGTCAACAAATTACAGTCAGTTTTCCATGTTAAATACATAAAATATATATCTAATATAAAAAAAAATCCAATATAAAATAAAGCAAAACGTTAAACTTACTCAAATCAGTAACAGTTCAACTGTATAAATTTGAATTAACTAAAAAGCACGTCATCGCTTTCCAATTGCACTAAAAAATAGAACAAATCTTTCTTTGCTAAGTTGCCTAGTTCTTAAGAGTCCGAAAACAAATAAGTAAAAAACCAAGAACAAACATTTATTTATTAAAACTACTCTATTTAAACAAATTAAATTAAACAGAGAACAACATTAATTCTCCTTGAAAGCCGAAAATCTTTTCAGCTCAAATTTGCTTGCAGACCTTGCTTGTAAAACCACTTGAATAATAAAAGCATTTAGAAAAGCCTAGAAACTACTTAAAAATGGTATATGCAACATTGAACTTTAAATGTTGACTGGACTAATCCATACTAATCATTAACTTATTATATCATCATCAACTTATTAGACCATCCATACTAATCATTAACTTATTATAATAAGAAATCATTTTACTTATCATTATAGTAATTATTATTATTTATAATTTTTTTTTTTGTTATTATTATTATTGTTATTAATTATTACTATTGCTTATTATTTTATAATTATTGTTATTATTATTTACCTTATTATTATTTAAATAGAAAAAAAAAATAAAAAAAATATAAATTATTATTAGTAGATATTTTTAGAAAATTCATAAAAATTTACATTGATTTGTTCTTCTATACCGCATAAATACATCATAATAAATCTGAAGTTAAAAATTGTGCCGAATAAGTAAATACAAAGAAGAATATCATATATGAGTTGAAGATTAATGTACCTGATAGAGATAAGCTGTTGTGATACCAGATTAGTAGTTGTTAAATATTGTTATTTCATGATAAACAAAATGTATTTATAGCGAAATAATGTCTTGAATGACTTTTAGTAAATAAAGTGATTTCTAGTAATTAAACCACCTATTAATCATTTTTAACAACAGACACCAACATAAAGATAAGCCAAAGGTAACAACATTATGCAAAAAATTAATGTAAAAAAAAATTAATATAAAAAAGATAATGTTATGTATTTTCAGAATAGTTAAATTGAAGATAACACTTAGACCAGTAACACCGCTTGACTGGTAAGGTTGACAAATCTTGCTCTACACGTTTGTTAAGTCACACCACTTTGAAATCATGGAAACAATATTATATAAACATATATACTAACTATAAAACACAATATATTTTTTTAATGTTATATAACATATAAAAACAAGAAAAGAAAAGTCTACAAACTACTTAAAAACTAAGAAATAGTGTATTTTACAGAATACAGAACCGTAACTAACAATAGGCGTAACTATGCTCACTAATAATAATATTCACTGTGCTATTTTATATTTAGATAATATAAAATAAAAAAAATTTCTCATTTAAAATATATATTAAAAACATTCACATAAAATAAAAATAATAATATAAAAAATACACTTAGTTGTGTTCTATGTATTTATTTGTTAACATTAACAACAAAAAATGTGATTAAAACAAATTTTGCTTTTTTAAAATTTAAAACCAAATTGATAAAATGCTCATATTCATTTTAAAAATTTTTAAACAAAAAATAATGTTTGAATAAGAAAAAATGTTATTTGAAAGTAAAAACAAGTATTTGAGCGCTTCTCAATTTGTTGAGGTAATAGACTTGTCTACATTTAGCAAACTATATATGCTCATTGTGTATCCATATACTTTATATTCTATATTGCATTATCATATATTGTGCACATCATGTACACAATATAAATATTGTGTACATGAATTGTACACAATATTTATATTGTGTGCAATTCATGTACACAATATAAATATTGTGTGCAAATCATATACACATTAGGTAAATATCGTCTACATCATTTATACATTAGGTAACTATTGTGCACATAATGTACACATTAGATAAATAGTGAGACTTTAGAAAATCATTTGATTAAAAAAAATTTTTTTTAGAGAATTTTACATCAGCAAGTTCATCATCAATTGGATCTCTTCAAGAGCAATTCTTATCAGGTCCTAGCAGAACCAGTCAAAGTAGTCCTAACCATATATTGCATGGTTTATCAGGTCCTAGCAGAACCAGTCAAAGTAGTCCTACCCATATATTGCATGGTTTATCTGAAAAACACAATGAACCAAACTATGATGACATAAGTACAAAATTGTTATCATTAAAAAATGATTTCAATCAGCTTGAATATAAAGGTGATTTTGTTCAGCTCCCTGCATATAAAGATGGCTTAAATCAGGGATCTGTGAATAAAGGTAATTTTCATAAACCAATTTTTAATGAAGATAATTTTAATCAGCTCGCTGTGGTTCAAGATGATTATGATCACCAATCTGTACATAAAGATAACTTTAATCAGCTCGCTGTGGTTCAAGATGATTATGATCACCAATCTGTACATAAAGATAATTTTAATCAGATTCAAGAGAATTACTACAAACAATCTGTTGACGATTTCAATCAACATTCTGTAAGTAAGAACTTACACAGCTCCTATATAAATTTGAAAAAAATCAATTCGGAAATCAAAGACAATGAGTTTATTGGTGAGTTTTACCCTTTGCAGCCAGTTCAACAGAGCTCTTTGTCTTATGTTGAAAATCAAGCATTGCAGTCATCAACAATTACTACTGATGTTGTTCAATTAAACTCTGACAAAATAGTTAACTTTGAATGCAATGAAGTATTAGCTAGCACTCAACAAACAGTGAGTACAATAAAAGCACATGACCCTGTTTTTATAAAGTTAGGTCAACCTTTAGAAACAACAGATGGTTTCGAAAGGTTCTTACAGCCAGCTGTTATCAAAGATAGTAATGAAGGTTCAGACGCTTTTGAACATCCACAAGTTAAAAAAGTGCTTACTAATGATAATTCTTCATTTTCTTCTAATGGTTCTCCATTATTTTTACCAGTATCTTGTTCATATCAAAAGGGTGCTAAATACTCAATAAACAATAGTGTTTCTACTTCAGTTGATGACTCATCATATAATGCAACACTGATTTCAAAAAAAGGAACCTCCTCTGACTCTCTTCAGATTATCCAAAAAATCTCAGGATTTCAAACAAAATTATTTAATGATCATAAAGAAATGAACGAAAAAGAGTTAAGTATTACAGAAGATAAATTTCATCGTCTATCTCCACACAGTTCTTTCAAATATGATACTTTTACAACATTTGGACATGACAGCCAGCTGGAGTCTTTTACAACATTTGAAAATGGCAGCCATCTTGAATCGTTTGAAAATAAAAATGAGCATGCTTCAATTGCACATGAAAATCAGCAAGGTTTATTTTATGACAATCATCCAGATTCATTTTTAAATCCAAGTTTAACATTCCATGAATTGACCAATCAAAATCACCAAAATGAATTGACCAATGTCTACGAAACTAGTACTAGTTTACAGCTTAATGAATTTAAGAATCAACCAATCAAATCAACAAATAACATTTTAGAAACACAGGTCCAAAATGGCGGATCAGTTGATTTAACAACAGACATTGTGCCTGAAAATATTTATTCTTTTTCTTTAAAACATTTTGACGAATGGAACAAAAGAGTTTCTAACCTAGTCAACCACAAACAGTCAAATAATAATTCTCAACAAGATAATAAAGAAAATGAAGCAGAATCAAATCACCATTATGCATTAAAAAGTATTATGCCATATTTTGAAGATATCACAATGGATTTTACTGCACGCAAAATTAGTGGTTCAAGTTTTTCACGAACGTCAATCAATGCAGAACTAGACAGTTTTATACCTCTTTCTCTACAAAATAAAGGAACAATTTTTGACTCAGTTAACCACAAGCAGTTAGATGATACTTCTCAACATGATAATAAAGGAAATGAAGCAGAATCAAATCACCAATATGCATCAAAAAATAATATGCCATATTTTGAAGATATCACAATGGATTTTACTGCACGTAAAATTAGTGGTTCAAGTTTCTCACGAGCATCAATCAATGTGGAACAAGATAGTTTTATACCTCTTCCTCAACAAAATCGGAAGAGAATTATTTCTGATTCTGTAGAAAATGTTTGTTTAACCAAAGACCCTTCAAAAGATGACAAATTTGTTAAAAACTCACAGGATTCCACACAGGATTACTTTAAAGGTTTGTTTAAGTTTGATTTTTAGAATTTTTAAAAAGTAAAAATTTTAAAACCAGCAGTAATAATGCTATGTGTCACTTTTTGTTTTTTACTCTACAAAACTTCTACAGTACCTAACATTGTGCAATCTCATTCATAAACTGTTTCATTTGATTGTTTTTTTCTTAATGTCATATTGTTAGATATAATTTTTTTTCTTTCAACTTTATAGACTTCTCTTATCAAACTATTAATGTTGAAAGAACTACAGATAACAAAAGTTCACATTTAAATGAAAGTCAACTTGAAATAAGCAATATAAATGATGTAAGATTTTTTGTATTTGTGTTGGTTTAGTATTATTTGTGCATTAATCTGATTTATGTTCTTATCACAAAAAAAAAAAATAGGGAATCCGATTTAAATATTATGTATTTAAATATTAAAATAAAAATACACTCACAAACGCAATCCAGGATGCGTTTGTGAGAGCTATATTGTTTCTATGGTAACAATGCTTACATTTAAAAAAAAAAAAGAATGAGATAAAATCTTTATAATAAAAAAAATTTCTATAGTAACTAATTTTAAACTCATGTACAAAAAATGCCAAGTAATTTTACTATCTACCTTGAAGAATGAAATGAAAAGTTATAAATTACTATTAAGTTTTTTAATTGTATACACACTATACTTTTACATAACTGAAATAAATAACAATAAATAAATGTCATTTGTTTCAAAAGAATTTAATAAAAATTTAAGATAAATTAATATTAATATTAATGAGAATTTAAGATAAATGTTGTTCTTCAAATGAAAGGTTTGAATTAGCCATTTTATTACCAACTTGTTTGCGTTGTTACCAACTTGTTTGCATTAGTACCAACTTGTTTTTATTGGTAACCAACTTATTTGTATTGGTAACCAATTTATTTGGGTTGGTACTAACTTGTTTACTTTCGTACCAACTTGTTTGCGGCGTAGCAACACCTTGTAATTTTAAATTTTAATTTAGTTTACCACTGAACTCAGTGTCCTGTCAGATCTTGATCTTTCAATGATATCTGGATCAGTTGATTGGTCTTCTCTTGCACCATTTCATGAGTCTGGCTCTTCAAGTCAAGAATCCTTAGAAAATATTTTAAACTATCAATCTATCTCTCAAGTTGACTTGCAAGAAAAAAATCACAGTTTACAAGGACCTAACCAAGAATCTGAAAATGTAGCCTTGACAAATGAATCATTTTACCACCAAAATGGTAAACCAGATATACCATTTTACAATCAAGACAAATCAGTGATAGATGAACACACATACCATCAAGAGCAGAGCACGGAAAAAAATAATCAAGTTAAAGACATTTTACAAACATCAATTAAAGTAAATAAGTTAAATCCAAATTCAGATAAACTAAAAATAGCTGAACAATCAAGTCAAATTAAGCTTGATAGTGGTAAGTGAAAAATATTTATTTTATGTTTTAGTGTTTACAAGGAAAGTATATAAAGTGTTACATTTACCTTAGGTTACATAATATTTCTTGTTTTTTTTTTTTTTTTTTTTTTGCAGAACATTTTATGTTAAATTACACAACAAATGTTGCATTGCACATCTATGAAATTAATAAATAATAATAATAAAAATGTTTTTAAAAACATAAAATAATAAAGCTTTAATAAAATAATTTTTGATTTTTAAAAAAATAAAATTTGATAAAATATTTCAATATTTAGTCTTTTTATTTTTTAAATTAATAGTTAGAGAATTATTTCTTAGAAATTCAATTTTTTAGATATTGTTAAAGAAAAATTATTTGAAAGTAAAAAAAGAACAAAGAGGTAAATATTTTATTTATAAATTTTATTTAAATAAAGTTATAATACTTCTTATAACTTTAATATATAAAAGTATAATGATTTTTTGGCTGTTTGACCACGACGAAATAAGCTACATGTTTTTTTATTGTTGTTTTTTTTATAAACATAACACTTTCAAGTAAACCTAAGCTTTCAGATTTCATTAAAAAATAAACATCAAAAAACGTATTTCTTTGTCATTTTTGGGCTGGTTTATCTAACGATTCACATTCTCTTCTTTTAAATAAAAATAAATAGTTAATATTTTTAAAAATTAAAATAAAAATAAATAGTTAACATTTAAAAAATTAAAATTGTTGATTCTTTAATTTAATTCATTGAAATCAACAAAAGAAAAATTTGTTTCAAAACATGTTTTCCAATGCAACAACTTCGTGACTATTGAATACAAAAATTTTTTAAAATATTTTTAAAAGAATATTTTTATATTAGAGTGTAAAGATTCAAAGAATGTCTATAAAAATTTTCTTTGAAAAAGGGTTTTTAAGTGTTAAATCTCTCTATCTTCCTCACTGTAGTCTCTTACTGTGCAGTTTATTTCATACGATATTTAAATTTCATTGTTTGACAAACTCTTTTTTATTAATGAAATTTTATCTGTTAATCAAATAATCTTAATAATAAATATACTACAAAATAAATTCTTATTTCAATAATATATCTTAACCAAGAAAAGAAAAAATTTTTTAAAAGTCTTTAAAAGACTTGAAAATTTTAATTTTTAAAGATTTAAATTCAAGGTTTTCATTCTTTAAAAAATTTAATTAAAAAAATATTAAGTAAAAATTAACTTAAAATCAATGAAAAATATGTAAAAAAAATAAAAATTAAATTTAATGATGATGTCAAAGTTGCTGAAAATTAAAAATGATTTTTCTTAAGTTTGTACGAACGGCTCCCTGAAGTGAAACAACAAAATGCTCTTAAAGAAAAAAATGAGTTATTGAAACGAAACAGAGCAAAGATGAAAGAATATCATAAGGTAAGTTGTCAAATTTTAAAAAATTATTTCATAGTTTAAAAAATGTTAAAGAGTTGTTAAGTAGTTCAAGATTACAGAAATTTTGCACCAAATTATTTTTTTGTTCAATAGTAATTAACAAAAGCAATATAACTATTAATTAACTAAAACAATGGTAATGGTAACCTTGGTACCATGTAAATATGGGTAGTGGCAACCATGGTACCATATACCATTACTAACATGTTACCATGGAACATGTTAGTAATGTAAAAATAAAATATTTATTTATATTTCTTTTTTCGATTTAATGTTGAAGTTTTTATCTAATTTGGTAAACCTGCTAAATTGATATTAAAAATATCAATTTAGCAGGGTTTTTTTTTGTTTTTTTTGTTTCTTTTTGATATTCACCTCCTCAAGGCCGAGAAGGCTACTACAGACGAGGAGGCTACTTAATAGTGGTTATAACCCTCTCTCAACTCTATAACTCCGAAACACAAACCTTGATGAACAAGGCCGCTGTGCGGAGAAACAAGTTGAGGGCGGTACTACCAGGGGCGTGGTTGGAATCAAACTAAAACAAAAAAAAAAAGGTTTACAAAATTAACCAGGTTTGGCATCAAAATCATTTAAACCAGCTGATAATGTACAATTATTTTGGTATTGCATCATAAAATCCGATACCCAACTAAAAAACGATTTGCTATACCAAATAATATAAAAAGTTGTAACCATAATGAAAATGATTTAGAAAAAGTTATTTTATGTTTGAAAAAAGATATCTTTCGAAAAAAAAAAAATTTTGGATATTTTTGTAGCAATAAAATAATGAGAAGTGAAATGAAATGTTTTATAAAAAAAGAAAAAAAAAATCTTTTATTTTAAATGATCATATAAATCTAGCAGGAATGTGGAGTTGGAGTCTGGGTCTATAAATCCCTGATTAAAAAAATAAAGAAAAATAAAAAATCTAAAATGGCCTAAAATCTTTCTTAAATAATAACTATTTGTTTGTAGACATTGTTTTGTGGGGTAACTTATAATAACAAAGTAACTGACAAACCATATTGCAATCATATTGATTATTTGCTTCAATTTACCTCACAATGATGACACATTTTCTGAAAGACCTAAATTAATACTTGTGGCCGGCCATCTTCATAAATCAATTTTTTTTGCTTCATATATTTTATTTTTATCTTTGAACATGTGTTCTAGCGTTTTCTTTTTAGAACTTTTTATTTAAGCTTTTACTTATGCTTAAGTATAAATTGATCCAAACTACTGCATCCCAGCAAACATTCGGTCTAAAAAAGGTATCTTTTAAGTATATAAAAAACGTCTAGAAAACGTATTTTTTAGACTAAATGTTTGCTGAGATATAGTTTCCATTATTCATTCTCAACTATGTAAAACCAACTTTAGCTCACCAGTTGCACTAAAGACTGGTGTGAAAACGCATTTTTTTAATAAAAAAATTTATTAATAAATTAAATTAAAATTTAATTATTATTATTATTATTTTTTTAATGACATATGTATTAGTTATTACTATTTTGTATTATTCCTTAAACACTCCAAAGTTAATTTTAACTGTGTTCCTAAAGTACCTAAAGTAAGTATCTGAGGTTGCGAATTTAGGTTGGTCCACTAATATTCTTCTATCTTTTATTTTTTTAAATGTCATCCAAAAAATTTTTTTTTTAAAAAGACAAGGAAAAATTTTGGTTTTTACAAAAAAAATTCACTGTCAGACAGTGAATTTTTTTTTCAGCCCTTCCAATACAAGTTGATCCATAAAAGCAGCACAAAATCCACTTTTTGTGCTGCTTTTTTTTTAGGTGTCACCTTTTTGACACTAAAGCATCAGTGTTTTTGATATATGCATAGACCATCTTTATCCAGTAAACATCTAACAAAACACAATCTGTTATTTTGTTGATCAAGATATGAATTCGAAAATTGTGCATCACGTGATAACAATGTGAAACAACTATGCTGCTCAAAGGGTTATTGCGATTGAAGTCTACAAATAAAGGAAACCTTTAAATTTGGACTTCCCGGCCCTTTTGTGAGGACTTTTCATTTTGCTTTTGTTACGATTTCAAAAATTTATTAAATTAGACTAAATCAAATTTTATCAAAAAATGTAAAGTTTCAATAAGAAAAAAATTTTGGCATTTAGTTTCGACTACTTAGCAACCATTTTGAGGAGTTTGTTATTAACTATTATTTTAAATTAAAAAAATTTTTTATCTAGTTAAGTTAGCAACAAAAAAAAAATTATTTATTGTTAGATAATCACATATATATATTAAAAGAAATTTTTTTTTTCACTCAGTTGAATCTAGCGCATCTCTTCCCTAATCTCTTTTCCGCTCCTATATAATTCCCCCTCCTCTTTCCCACTCCTTAATCTCTTTCCCGCTCCTAATGTTATACACCTTTAATACTAAACGCTTCCATTAGCCATATTTTAATTTTATATAAATTATAAGCTGATAATCAGCGGTTATCAGCGATTGAATTCGTATTATTTTTTATTATTAAGTTAAAACTAATCTGAAATTTTATGATTACTTAATTTATTTTTAAAAACACGGGTAACGATAAGTACTTTATTCTTTCTTTGGAAACAATGCTAATTGTATTTTTTTTTTTTCATTCTTTAATTATATATACTTTTAGAAGCTTCAGAAGACTATTAAAAAGCGTGTCAAAAAATGATCAATAAGTCGGCTGGGAACTTTTTCTTTAAAAATTTTTTTTTTAGATTATTATAATTGTAAATTATTTAAAAATTAAATTGTATTTATTTTATAATTGTTTTCACTTTTTTTATCTCATAAGATTGCTTTTTTTATTGCTGTCTAAAATAAATTGACAGTATCTTTTATGTAGGCGGTTCCTAAAAAATCAATAAATGTTGTGTATTTATTAACATTTAATTAACTTGCAGAGAGTTATAGATAGTAGCAAAAAAAAAGTTTTTTTTCGTCTATAAAAATCAAAGATAATGTATATCTAGACGTCAAACTTGCTGGATTTTATTGGACGAAATTTAATCCGCAATTTGTAATTAAGCTAAATGTTTTATTGTTAATGTTGTGAAAGCCATTTCTAATTAGGGCAAAAGCGGCTTCACTTTTCGAATCGAAGTTAGACATCTAGAATATATAATAGATCATTAATAAAAATAAATTGATAGCCAATAGTTTCTCATACAGTCCACGCCAAACGAATAGCACATGCAATAATTTAGTAATAAAAATAGGTGTAAGAGCGTTTGAAATTTAACTCAAAAGTTAATAAATATTTAACACAAGAAATAAAATGCTAAAAAAAGAAAATATTGTCTTCGTTTGTTTAAAACATGTAAAAAAACATTAAAAAATGAAAAATAAATCATGTGCCAAACCAATAGCACACACGTAGAATTTTGAGATTAATAAGAAGTAGAAACCTAATAGTCAATCTCGATAATAACCTTAATAATAATCTCGATAATACCTTTCTCGATAATAACCTGAATGCAACGCTTAGTCATTGAGGAAATAAGCGTTTCAAGCAAAGACTGGGGGATTTTGTTCCATTCCATCTGGATGGCCATTTTCAGTTCTGTGATGTTACTGTATTGTTTTCCATTTGCATACACGTGACAAGACAAGTAACCCCAAATGTTTTCAATGGATTCAAGTCGGGTGACAGCGCCGGATGATCAAACAACTGGATGTCATGTTGCATTACAAATTCCATCACGGTCTTTGCCGTATGTATCAATGTGTTATTTTTTTCAATTTTTATCTTTTTCTTTGCCGTATAATAAAATTTACAATGAGGAAGATCATACATATATAAAAAATGGCCGGAGCAAGAAGAAGACATAAACTGTCTAATCGCCAAGCCCCGTTGACGTTACAAAGTAACTAGTTAAAAATTATAAAGTTAAAAATAAAATACAATATTAGTTCTACACATATAAAAAATACAAGTAATAAATCAATAGTATTTTTTGTTTTTTTATTTTGTTTGTTTGTTTGAAATTAATAAAATATATATTTTGTTTTAATGAAAAATAAATAAGATACACATCAAGACAACAATAAATGAGTAGTGATGACTTTTTATATTTTTAATAAATTTATACATCGTTACGTAATAACTACATCACATAATATAATACGTAAAAATATAAGATATACCACGCATATATACGTATAACATATATATACGTATAACACGATATATACGTATAACATAGCATAATAAAAATTGGTTTAACAAGTATATCTAAGTATAGCGTAAATTAATAGCGTTTCTTATCATAAAAATTACCAGTATTTTTTAAAAAATAAAAGAATAAAAATAAGAAAAGAAAAAAAAAGACAAGAAATTTTTTGGTACTTCAGATATATACATGTCGTTGTAAAGGAAAACTCGTAGAAGTCTATGAAGACTTATCATCGAGTACCTCTTTAAAAGGTTAAATAAAGTCTATTTTATTTTTAAATATAATCAAAAGTGGTTAAACAATATACAGTCAGTGATACACATAAATATTTTATTATAAATGGTAATTTTAAGTTTAATACATGTCGATATAATTGTTGGTATTAAGTATGAGGTGTTTTAATTTATTTTTCAAGTTGGCAGCATTATTTAATACTTTAAGTTCTATATTTTTGGAATGATTTTGTTATATAGGTACGTACGCCGGTAGGAAATAGAAAACCGTGAGAACTTTATTGTTCTTTTGGGCAGTGTGAAGTTGCCTGTTGCTCTTGTCATATACCTATTAGAGTTTACTTGAAAGAAGTTATCTAAGAAATGCGATGGGACTAGTCCAAGTTTGTATTTAAGCATAAATAGAACATTTTGGTAGATGTTGATTTGGTAAACATTTAGTGCATTCAAGGATTTTAGTAAGGGTTATCTTGCATAAAGACAAACGTATGTCCATAGTTGGCATGCCCTTATGGCATTAAGTAATTAGAGAGTGTAATAATATAGTCTTTAGCTGTTTGTTTCCCTTCTAAGAACTTTAATTTAGATAATCCAGTCTTGGAAAATGCACCCCAAATCATGACACCACCACCACCATTTTGTCTGAACAAGAAAGTCTTGGGCTCTTTTCGTAAATCATGTCAATCCATCTGGATTAATATTCTTCTCAATTGAAGTCGTTTAACCAATTATCGAAATTAACCAAGCGTGACGTTTGTCACGCTTGGTTAATTTCGATGCATTTTGGTTGGATTTTTTTTTTCAAATATGTATCAGGATCCTTCAAAATCTTCTCAATAACGACTTCGCTGCATATGTCTCGATATCTCAGACGTTGATAAATTGGCAGTCTTGAAAACTTTGATCATAGCGATTTCTTTAAAGCATTTAACTTAGTTCCACGTCCCATAGTATTTCTCTGTAACACATATGATTACTTCACATATGATGGCCTACGTTAATATTTGTATCACTTACCTAGCGTTAGCAATTCGTCTGTTGCAGTCAAATGTTAAATGACTGACGTGGGCTCAAAAACAATATGTTTCTTATTACTTCTTTGATTATGACTATTTTTAAATATTTTAATATTTAAAACAGTATAAAATGAATAAAATATATTATATTTATAGTGTGTGCTATTTGTTTAGCGCGGACTGTAGTTAGCACAAATAGCCGAAGAAATAGGGTATGGAGGATTAGTCCCTTAGCTAACAACACCGCATAAGTCATTTTTACCAACTTTACAGAAGACGAAACTGACTAACGACTTGTGCGGTGTTGAAAGGCCAACCGTTGTCACTACTTTTCAAATGACGGCTTCTGATTTATATCATGTGACTAGTGATTAGAGCAATGAGCAACTTGACTTGATAGATGTTGTAAGCTAAGGGACGATACAAATATATATTTTTAAACAGTTTAAAAAAGATAAAATAAAGTGTCACATCTTATCACTTTTCTATAAATAATATTTTATCTCAATAAACAATAATAAGAAAACAAATAAAAATAAATAATAATAATTTTTTTTTACTTCCGAGGTGCTCTGTGACAAAATCGTTTCAAAACAAAAAAAATTAAAAAATTTTATATTAATGCGTTTATAAAAATTTTTTTGGGCACAATCGTTAAATTCTAAAAAAGTTATGTATCACCACTTTTTTTGAAAATAAGGTCCTTTAGAAAATAATTTTTTTTTTTTTTTTTTTTTTTGGGTTATGTAAAGTTATGTATCACCACTTTTTTTGAAAATAAGGTCCTTTAGAAAAAAAATTTTTTTTTTTTTTGGGGGGGGGGGCAATGCTTTTTAGCCTGTCATCCCCCGGTGTTGTTAGCTCTGATACTGAAACACTTTCCAAGCTAATAAAAAAAAACAATTTTAAAATACAAGACAAAAATCTTTAAAATACTCTAAATAGTTAATTTACTAAAAATAGAAAAACAATTCTATGCAAAAAATTTCAATTTATGAAATATTATATGAAATTTAAATTTATATTATAAATATTATATTTCAATTTATGAAATATATTATATTTTATGTAAAAAATTTCAATTTGTTTCAATGAAATCACTTGCAATAAAAGGTAAAGCAAAAGGCTATTTAAATAAATAATAAACGTGATCCTAAAGAATTAGCGATGGAAATAAACAAGTTCTTCCTACAATTTAGCCAAAAATCAATCAAATTTAGCCAAAAAATTATTGTTTTTATTTTATTACTTTTCTAAATAATGAAACTAGTTAGTAAACACCTGCTTCATATCCTGCTACTTTGTAGAGTTTGCTTTTCTAGGAAAATATTTGAAGCTTACTCTTAATCATAGATTATCTGCTTTATAAAGCAAATAATCATAGATTTTAATGTTATAGTTAATATTATAATAATATTAATAGTTTAATATTATAGTTCTGGAAATTCTTTTCAAAAAATTAGAACATTATGAAATTGTCTTGATTTAATTTTAATGAATTTTATAAAGCTTCAGATTAATGGCGATTATTTTTACCGATGACGCTCGTTTTCTTCAAACTAAAAATAACCTTACAGAATTATATAACAAAATGACTTATTAAAAATGACTAAAGTCGTTTCTTTTTTTCCTAACTTTAATTAAAAAAAAAAATCTCTTCAAAACGCCTGATCTCTAGATAAATAATACTGAATAAAAGTTGCGAAGTTTTTAGGCACTTCTCTTGAAAAAAAAAATCTGGAATAATTTAACCAAAGTATATATAACCTCTACATCGTCAAAAGAAACATTCTGCACGTCTTATAAACTTATAAAAAATCTTATTTATGCAAAGTGTCTCATACTCGAAATTAATAATTTTTCTGGTTCAATTTTTGACATTAAATCTGTCTACGCCTTATCTACTATTTCCAAGTCTAAATTTACATAAAGTTTATCACATCTATACCTCATAGGACCCGTATACAAACACGTGACAATTAGAACAATAACAAAAGTACCCAGTTCGCTAGAGGCGTTACTTAAATGGTGTCGCACTTTTATTATTAGTATATATATAATAAAAGTACCCAGTTCGCTAGAGGCGTTACTTAAATGGTGTCGCACTTTTACTATTATTATTATTATTATTATCATTATATATATATATATATATATATATATATATATATATATATATATATATATATATATATATATATATATATATATATATATATATATATATATATATATATATATATATATATATATATATATATATATATATATATATATATATATATATATATCGCTATTATATATTAACGAAAGAAACTTTGGCATGATTTAATTAAAATGTAGTGAGAAAAAAAACGAATTAAGGCCGACTGATATAACTTTATAATTACACGAATTAATTTTTATTTAACTTTTTTTCCTTTTCCTTTATTCTTTATACCAGGTTGAAGTTTATTTTGATTATTTGAAGATTTATTTTTATTTCTATTCTTGACGTTTGCGGACTCATAGTAATGTTTTCCAGTCTTCATTTTGTTTGTCGTCATGCGAGGTTCTTTCTAAAATAACACAGAGAAAAAACCTATAACGATAAATCAAAGTATAGACGCCGTCAGTCGTCTGATTAAATAACTTTTAAATTATAAGGAGCACAATAAAAAGGTTACATGCACCGTAAATATCACAACATAAAACCATTAAGAAGTTTGACATAAATATTTTCACGTGAAAGGTTTTTAATTTTAAAATTGCAATTTGTTCTTTTTTTTAATGTGGTTTTTTAAAAGTGAATTAGTGCTAGAAAAATAAAATCTTCAAAACTTAAATAATATAGTTTCTTAGGAATAGACTAAGACAAAATAATCCCTTATTTCACTTGTGAAACTATACAATATATGGAGTCAAGTAGTTCACATTTCTAAGTCAGTGGTTTGTTTTACTAAAATATTGACTTAAAAATAAATGTTTTAGTTAAGCCATGTTAATACCTTTTAAGTTTAGCCATGATTTATGCATGAATTATTACTAAGATTTTAGTTTTAGAAACATGTTTTGGACATTCAGCTTGTACTGGATTTCATGTTGCCATGGTTTTAAACATGGTTTCCTACCAGCAAGTTGATCAAGGCAGGTTGATCCTGATCTTATGTATATTTAACTTGTATGAATATAACTACATGTTTTACAAATAATAATTAGAAGTATTGTTACCTTTTTTCTTTTAGTCTCTTCTGGTTCTTTAATGTTAACTTTCTTTCTTTTATTGTTCTTGCTTTTATTTGTTTGTTCTAAAATCACATTAAGTAAAACCACAAATATAAAAATAAACATGAAATAAGGTTTGTCATGATATACTTGTAAAAAGACCCCATTCAATCCGAATAAATGTGATTCTATGCATCACACTCATAAAAAGTGAATTTGTTCACAAAACTTTAATATCAAAATAGTTTTTTTTAAATCTTAGAAAAATAGTGTTAAAAAATATTAGGTAATAAATATATGATATATTTTTTACTACTAACTATATCTTGAATGTTTTTAAGATAAAAATACACTTAACTTATTTCGAGCTTTGATATAAATTAAAAAATAAGAATAAAAAACTTTTTTTATTTTACATTTATAAATATTTATTTTTAAATTAATTTAATAAAAACAATCATTTTAAAACATTATGTACATACATAAACTATATATATTATGTGGCATATCTATTGCATATTAGGCAGCTGCTTAAGGAAAAAATATATATTAACTTTATTAAAGTGTCTCACTTTGCATTTACATTTCCTTAAGTCAAGATAATATCAACCTTTTTTATTATTCACAGTTAGAGAGTTGCTGAAAAATAACATAACCACAAAAAAGTGCAAACTTATAAACAAACAAAATGGCTACCAAAAGTGGTTAGTCCATATAAGTATATATCCATCATTCATATATAAAATACATTACATCTATAAACTTTTTTTATATAGATTAAAACACCTTTTTGTATAAGTTACTTTTCAAGTTCAGATTAGCCTGTAACAGTACAGCACTGTTAATTATAGATGGAGATAAATCATTAGTTGACATTTTACAAGTTTTTACCTCAAAAAGAATAATGTAATTTTACTTGTAAATTTTTATAATTAATAATAACTTTAAACTGTATATGTTATATTTTATTCAAAAAAAATCTTATGACACAATAAGCAGAGGCACGAATATGTTAACATTTCTATGCTGTGATGGTGAAACCTTTGTGCCAGCCTGATGTCCACCAAAATTAGTTTTTAATAGGAACATAGTTTTTGTGTGTGTGTGTGTGTGTGTGTGTGTGTACGTGTGTGTGTGACTAGATATATTTATTTACTAAACCAAAACTGTAGGGTCAAAAACACAAGATCTTGAATTATAAAATAATAAAAATTTGCATTGTATGCAAAAAATGCAATGTCATAATAATGTTAAAAGGTGTTTCAACCTAACCAACTGATCTACTTTGCATTTACATTTCCTTAAGTCAAGATTATATCAACCTTTTTTATTATTCATAGTTAGAGAGTTGCTTAAAAATAACATAACCACAAAAAAGTGCAAACTTAAAAACAGACAAAATGGCTAACAAGTGTGGTTGGTCCATATAAGTATATATTCATCATTCATATATAAAATTAAAATTGACCCGTTGTTTTTAAAACCACATAAAAGATAAAATAGGAAACAGAAATACTAAACATAATATTCTCACAAAAAAATATTATAACAATATACCTTTATCATCATTTGATAATGCTTCAACACATAAAATAGAATTATTTGATGTGATCTGATACTTAAAACCTGAAATTAAAATTAAAAAATGAAATTAAAAGAAAAACATCAAACATACATATTAAACAGAAACAAAATACGTTTGATTTTCAATTTTAAAATTTCTCATTACAATTTTATACAAAATTTTTAATTTAGTTTTAAATTTTATCAACTTGCATACTACAGGTTTACAAAATAGTTGAAACCTTGTTCCTGAAGTTCATCTAAATGATGTTCAATGTCATTTTCATGTGAAATTATTTTTGTTTCTGGTTGAGTGATATTTTCATGCGTGGCTGATGAAGTTATTTGTGGTTCAACACAGTTTTCATTTAAGTCCTTTTCTAAGTCCTTTTCTATAGCAGTTTCTGTGGTTACAGTATCCGTAGTTACATTTTCTAAAGCAGCATTTGTTTTATCGCACTGTTCAGAAGTTTGTTTTTTATCAGATGGTTTTTGGTCTTCACTTTTTTGGTCTTCACCAACTTCTGTTTCAGGAGGTGGAACAAAATAAGGTAACCTACCCCTTTGATAATCAGTTAAAATCATTTTAGCTACAGTATTAATGTCTGGTTCTCCACCCTGAAACATAAAATATAAAGTATATATGTAATAAAGTATATATGGAAGCAAAAGATATTAGAAATTATTTTTAAATTAAACCTTTAATAGTCGACCAGACTTTCTACAAAGAGCTTCCAAAAATCCTTCCGCAGACTCCCATTCATCTATTTGGTAAGTCTTTTGAATATACTTTTTTTTAACTCTGTGTAGAACCTCTGAAATATGATCAGATGCATCTTTAAGGTTTTCTACTCGTACGACTCCTTTAAGAACTATATCTGTTTCTGAATCATCAGATGGATAGACCACACCAGGACAATCAATCAAATAAATCCTACGCATTAACGTGACATATTGCCAAACCTGAATTAATCAAAATATTTAAAAATAAAAAATAAAAATAATTGGTAAAATGTTTTAGCAAAAATTACCTTAGTTTCACCAGGAACAGGAGCAGCTTTACAAACTTTTTTCTTCTTTAATGTATTGATTATAGAAGATTTGCCAACATTTGGATAACCAATAAAACCAACACTACAGGAAAATATTATGAGGAAATCAATATGTTAGTCAATATATTAATTCATATATCTGAAACATAATAATTTATTACAGAAAAGCATATTAAAATTAATTTAATGAACTATTTTCTTTAATTTGTTACCTTTAATAATTTAGTAATTTGTTGTCTTTAATAATGTTTTTTTAATTTTTGTTAATATTATTATGTAACTTGTAGTCAATCAGAAAAAGTAATTCAAATTATTTACTTAATATAAAAATATTTATAATATCAAATATCACACATAAAATTTTTTACTTCCCATTTTTTTGCTATTCTTTACAATTATGTATATTACAAAATGTCTCGGCCTGATAATGTATTCTACAAAATGTCTCAGCCTGATCAAGCTTCACTTTTTTAACCTCATGTTTCATAATAAATTGTGTACTTATTTAAAAAATGCACACAACTTTTAATGTTAAGTTTCAGGAAAAAAGTTTTTACACAAACATGATGTAAATTTAAAAGAAAAACATCAAACATATACAAAAGACTTCAAAGAAACTTCTAAAACAGTAATATACATAGTAAACAGTAAACATAAACTTTAGGACTTTTAAGGACCTGCAGATTTGTGGAAATAACCAATAGAAAGTTATTTGAAAAATTGATTAGCAAAAGTGCTCTTTGTTTTTTTAATAAATTTTTATTAAAGTGAAAGTGAAAGTGAAGTGGTATGATGCTATCACATTTTATAAAATACCACATTTTATAAAGTATAAATTATTTTGCTATTTTGCTAATTTTTTATTAGTTATTTTTGTTTACATCTTTCATAATATTTATGTTTGTTTACACCTTTATGTTTGTTTACATCTTTCTTAATATATCAATAATTAAACGTAATGAATGGATGAATGAATGAATAGTCTTTTTAACTACTGGCCAACGTCCTTTTATTATTTTTTTAATAACAAGATGATTTTTCATAGTTATAAATTAAAAGTTCATTTATTGAAGTTCCACTTCTAGCACTTCATTACTTTCCAGAATGTCTTAATTTATTGTCAAAACATTCTACAAATTGGTGTTACAATTACTTTAAAAGGAATTTTGGTGAATCAACCCAGCCTATTAAAACTACCCATCTGATCACAAAATATATATTCTGAAATTGGGAAAAAGAAATCTCCATATTAAGAAATAATCTATCAAGAAATAAATTATTGTTTATAAATTAGGAGATAAACAAAATTATACCTAATGTTTTTCTTATCTTGATGTAACTATAATTTAGAAATAAAAATAATAAAGAATAATAAAGTCCAAATAATAAGGATAATAAAGAAATTATTAGATCATAAACTTCACATAATAAAATGTACTTTAAGAAAACCTAAACTATTTTTACCTTTCCAAATTGACGTAATAGCTGAATTAAAGCTCCTTTTCCAAATGGATTGTTAACACTTGCATGAAAGGCCAGGGTTGGATATTCTGTTGACAACAATGCTACCCACTTTCTCTATATAAAATTACTAAACTTTAATGTCTTTTTTTTTAAAAATCTTTGTATTTTTAATATAAAGGTGTTCAACTAAAAAAGGATAATACTGTTTGGATGGAGTTTTGATTAGTATAAAATACTTCTAGTATAAAAAAAAAAAAGTTATATATCATTATTTATCAATCCAACTCAACCTCAACCTCTAACACAAAAACTTAGTCAAACAAGACACAAAACATGTTGAAGTAGGGGAAAGCAAGACGAATTCTTAAAAAAAAATTTTTTTTTGGTCCAAAAAATGTTTTTAAGTAGGATAACTTTTAACTTTCTCCTGTAACTAAGGAGGTGAATTAACAACTTTCTCTTGTAACTAAGGGAGTGAATTTCCAACTTTCTACTGCAACTAAGGGAGTGAATTACTAACTTTTTCCTGTAACTAAGGGAGTGAATTTCCAATTTTTTACTGTAACTAAGGAATTGAATTTCCAGCTTTCTACTGTAACTAAGGGATTGAATAGCCAACTTTCTACTGTAACTATGGGAGTGAATTACCAACTTTCTCCTGTAACTAAAGGAGTGAATTTAATAACTTAAAACATACCGTCACCCATGTTGGAACAAGATCACATTTATTCAGGATAAAAATTAAATGTTTATGTTTTTTTTCATTCTTTAAAAATGTTTCGATATGTTTAGAACGAGTTCCATTTGGATCTCTAGCATCAAGCACCTAAAATAATAGAAATATAAACACAAAAACATTCCCTAGCTTTAATAACTTAAACAATGAAAGGTAACAAAAAATCTATTGCGTTAACTATTCAAACCATTAAAAATATTGAGATAAAAATATTAAATGAGATAAAAATACTGAGATAAAATTATAAAATGAGATAAAAATACTGAGATAAAAATATTAAGATAAAATTAAAAGGCAAGATAAAATTAAGAAAGATAAAAATATCAAGTGAGATAAAAATATTTAGTAAGATTAAATATTAAAAAAATTATTAAAAAAAAAAATTAAATTATTAAATAAAAGTATTAAGATAAAAATATTTTAGAATGAATGTATGGAATGAATGAATGAATGTTTTGGTGTTTTGAATATTTTAAATTAAAATATTTGGTGCAATGAATGTTTTGAATATTTTTGAATGTTTTTCAATATTTAAAAAACATATTGGGTGGAATCTTTTGTTATAATCTTAGGGATAAATTCCATGCATTTAAGTAGAGAAATAATAAATAAAAAAAAGAAAAAGCATATACCTGTATAACAACATCTGAAGAATCAATAACCTGAAATAAAAAAAAAATATTTATAAAACATAAATAATTGAAAAAGAACGCAATACGTATTGTTAGATAAGGAATATGCATACCTTCCTGACTCATTATAGAGATGAGAGGCATGAAATAATTTATTATCAAAAATAATGACATTGCTAAGAACTATTGGTTTATGAAAATCTATTTTATGATCGAAAAATGAAAAATTAATTAAATATTCAAATATTAAGTTAACAAAAGCAATTTAAAAAGCAACAACTTAGTTAATAATCTAAACATGTAGTTCTAAAACATGATATGATATAATAGCAGCAACATACACTATCACAATAAGCTTTATATGCAGAGCTGCTGCCTACCTTTTTAAAACAAATACCTACTAAACTTTGAAATAAACACATAATAACTAAGTTCAAAAACGCAAAATTCAAAACATTTTAAGAATTTAAAAAGAAATTCATTGTTTTTTTTTTGTTTTTTTTTAAATAATAACATTTTCTAGAAGTTGACACCCTGCATGAAACACGTGATAACAAGTTATCACACTACACTTTTATTTGTATAGCATAATGTATTAACTACTATTTGTTGTTACACTTATTGTATTTATTTCACAACTTTATTATTTTGTTAAAATAATTTATAACAATAAGTTAAAATAGTCTTTTATTACTTCTCAGTAAAACTTTGTTCACTTCTTTAATCAAAAACCTATTAGATTAAGGGTAAATAATTGTTTAACAATTAGAAGTCTTTTGTTAACCATGAATCTGACTTAATCTCTTTAACAACAATGAATATTTTTTTATGTATTGAGAGTCTTAATTATTGTTTAATTTTTTATAATTGTTATAATTGTTATAAATTATGCAATAAACTGTATATTGTACCTTATAAAGTTCATTCCAGATCCTTTTTGACTGACCTTTAGAAAACATCCGATCTCTTATTTCATTCTTTTCTTCAAAGCTATTTACATTTACTAGATCTAAATCTTTTTCAGATGTGTATTTTTCTAAAAATAAAAAAATAAATTTTCTAAAAATAAATTACTTAGATAAATGTAAATTATTTTTCTAAAAATAAATGTATGCTAAGATCACAAACAATTTCTGAAGATTTCAATATGGACAATTCGAAAATATCGAGACAATGCACATGAAACAAAAATTGCTCTTCAAACCTTTTAAGAAATGTTGTGTATTTTATATGACCCAGAATATAATATTTTGTTTTGAAAACTTGGCCATGGCTGAATATAATATTTTGTTTTGAAAACTTGGCCATGGCTGAATATAATATTTTGTTTTGAAAACTTGGCCATGGCTGAATATAATATTTTGTTTTGAAAACTTGGCCATGGCTGAATATAATATTTTGTTTTGAAAACTTGGCCATGGCTGAATATAATATTTTGTTTTGAAAACTTGGCCATGGCTGTTTGCAAATTTTGAAAATCAGAGTATTTTAAATATGTGATTAATAAACAAATGTAAACTTAAGCTAAAATTATAAAAAACAGACCATTAACGGAATAAAAGGAATAAAAGCTGAAAAAAAAATTAAAAAAATAACAAAAAACTAAACTAAAAAAATGAAATTCTTAAAGGGATCCCAAACCTTAGAGACATGTTGTGTTCATATTAAAAAATAAAAATTTTTTCTGATTAAAACAAAAGTATAAATGCATACCAAAAAAAAACTTTTTTATTTTAGTCAAAGCTTGTATTGTTGAAAGCCAAAAAGTCAGCATATTAAACGCCACAATCTACAGACTTGATAACTTATTAAAACGAGTTTTATTCCTGAGAGTTATATTACATAGCGTCATTGATTTTTTTTGTTTGTGTAAAAAATCAATTATGCAAACAAACAAAAGAATGGATGATGTCATGTACTAAAACTCTTAGGAATAAAACAGGCTTGAATAAATTATCAAGTCTGTAGATTGCAGTGTTTATTATGCTGACTTTTTGGCCTTCAACAAAACGGAGAAGGCAGGCTTCAACTAAAACAAAAATTTTTTTAGTTTTTTAATATGCATTTATTCTTTTGTTTTATTCAAAAATTTTAGCCTAAACATTTTTTATTGTTAATATGAACACAACATGTTTATGAGGTTTGTGATCCCTTTATGGAATGATAAAATAAATTAAAAATAAATCAGAAAAAATAAAAGCATAAAATTAATACATATCTTTATTTCAATGTAAAAGTGTTTCACTTAATAGAATTTAGGAAAGATCAAAGTTTTAAAGTTATTTAATCTAAGTTTAATTACTTTGAAACATAATTATTTAAAAATGTGAAACTTTGGTATTTTCTAATGTTTACTACGCAAGTAAAACATAAAAAAAATTATGTGTTATAAAGATTTGAACCCTCATTTCAACGCCAAACTAACAGTGACGCCTGATAAATCTAACAATAAATCAACCTAAACCCTACGCTACAAACCCTACAAACCAAAAAACATCACAATAAAAATTTATTTAAAAAGCTATTATACAAAGTATTAGTGTGACCACACATATAGTAGTGGATGATCACACATATTGAATATGCTGTACCAGTTTGATCTTAAAATTTAAATGGAGGTAATTATATTTGGGAAAAAATACACAGCAAATCAACTAAAAAAATTTTAAAAAACTTTTTATATGAAGATTGTGTTTCAAAATTAATTTCACAACTCGGAAGAAGACTAAGGAGGGAAATAATACAGATGTTCCAAAGCCAGAGATCAAAGGTTTAGATAATGCAGGAAGTTTATTTGTAATAAATTAGAATTAGACTTGACTTCTTAACAAATATAATTACTGAGAGGATCATAAATTCTCTAAATATCAACTGAAAAGTTTTGAACATGAACTTTGTTACAATTAAATATAATATTTTATAACCCAAACTTAGGTTGTGCGATAAATCTGTATCAAACCTTAGGTTGCATACACAACCCGATAGTGTTTAACAGTAAAAAAAATAACTTTCATAATTATTAACAAATTTTCATAACTTCCAAAGTAAATAAAAACAAAGTTTATTTTTGGAAATAAATTCGAAGGAAAATACAATTAGAGCTCTAATACAGAATTTAAAATATATATCTATAAAAAAAAATCAAAGAAAAAGAAATACCTTGAGATTCTTCTGCAAGAGCAACCAAGCCCTTTAAAAAATTTACATACGTATATATATATATATATATATATATATATATATATATATATATATATATATATATATATATATATATATATGTATATATATATATGTATATATATATATATATATATATATATATATATATATATATATATATATATATATATATATATATACCCATGTGTGTGATTAAAATAAAAATAGCACCTGATAAAATATATTTTTTAATAAATTAATATAATAATTTTTAAAAATTACTTATAAAATTAATTACTAATAACATTTATATTATGTAAAGCGAAAAAAGTATTTTAAAGTAAAAAAATATATTAATAAAAAAAAAGAAAAGTTAAATTTTTAAAAAATACTTTAAATTAAAACTCCCCTATTATATGCATAGCATAGTCTTTCATATCACATTCTGGTGTTTAAAAACCCTCGGACTTAAGGAAAATGAGGTCAGCAATAATTTGCCAACCTCAATCTTTTAGAGGTCGGCAAAAAAATTTGATACAACATAGATAGAGGTCGGCTATTTTTTGCAAACCTCAAACACTTTTAGGTTGGCAGTTAGGTCGGCATTGCAGAATACCGACCCTAAATCCGAGGTTTGATATCAATAATAATCAATTTAAAAAAATATATACTTTTATATAGTTAGTCAAAATTTTTCAGGTAAAACCATAAATGTAGACTGCAGTGTCAAGCACAGTTCATACATTTATGATTTATGATCTGACAATCTAGCAGACTATTTGATTAGCTTAATGTTGTTTTCTAAGATTAAATTTTTTTTATTATAGGTATTAATACTACCTCAAGATCACCAGCAACAATAACAGGACGCTTTCTTTGAGCTTTAGGACCAAACGTGTTATCGAAAGAATCAGTATCTAACAAATGTACTCTAGCAGTCTGTTTAAAGTAGAAAAAAATAATAGTAAAAAAAAAAAATCAAACAAAAGAAATAAAAATATTTGAAGCTGTGTAGTACTTTTTTACGGTCATCCAAAAGAGATAAAGGAAGCTGAGTCTTTTTCATAATAACCTAAAAAAACAGAACAAATTATGTAAAAAAATTTTACAGTGTGAATAAATCATTTTTAAATTTGTTATTAAATTGAACTTTACTTTATATGGATTTGACATGGCTTTTCCCATTTCTTCCTGAAACTTTTGAAGTGCAGTTTGAGAAATGACTTTTGTGTTACCTAATGTTAGAGATATATAACTGGTAAAAACTGTTTCTAAAAATGATTACATAAATTTAAACACAATTCAAGGGGAAAAAATCATTAAATTTTTTAATTCAAATTTATATTTATTAAAAATTAAAAAACTAAAAAAATGCTAATTTATAAAGAAAAATAAAAAACTATATATATATAATAATATATTATCTTTTGGCTTCAACTTTTGGTAAATGTTTTATAAAATGGAAAATTTTTTTAACTAGAAATTACCGAACCATTTCCTGTTTGGTTCCACACGAGCTACTTCTCCTGATATTGCTTTTTTTTGGTACTCTGCTGCTATAATAATCTTGCCTTGTTCATTTCTAGACCATAATAAGAGACTTAACTTAGAAGAATATTGTACAATAATTCTCTCATTAATTTATTTCATTCTCTTCTCTCACTCTCTTTAATTTCTTCTCTTATTCTCATTAATTTTTAAAAATTAACATTCTCATTCATTCTCATTAATTTATTTCATTGTCTTCACACAAACATTCTCTCAATAATTTATCTCATATATATATATATATATATATATATATATATATATATATATATATATATATATATATATATATATATATATATATATATATATATATATATATATATATAAATACACACAAAAAAAAATATTTTTGAGTTTTGAGAATACAACAGTTGGATGTGACTAAATCGAGGTTCATGTGGATATACTCCAACAAGTGCTGGCTCTTGTGACTTGTTTATAGTCATTGATAGTTGTCGAAAAGCAAAAGTTGATAGAATATACATTAAAAAAGTGGATAGAATATTCATTTAACAAGGAATAGAATATACATTAAAAATATTTTAAACAACCTTTTATGATTATTTGAATTATATTGATATATGAACTTAACTTTATTCATTTTGAATATTGTTTTTAATATTTAAATACTACCTTTAGGCAATACATTAGCTTCTTTTAAATTTTTATAAATTAAACTGTTAAAATTATCAATAAAATTATTAATTGCATAATTTATAAGTTTAAATAATTGCATAACTTATTTGTAAATGAAAAGCACAACTAAAAATAAAATTTTGTAAATTATTTTAGTAGTAACAAATACAAACCATCAATTGTTATTAATTTTTTTTTAATTTTTACCCGTAATTAAATTTTTAAAAATTTAATTGCAATTTAAATCAAACTTTTTTAAATATTTGTCACACGACAAAAACAAATTTTATTTATTACTTTTATTATATCATTATTAATTTTGAGTTATTAACCCATATTATCATATTATTAATATAGCTGATCTGACCCGTAAAGTTTTTGTAAGTTGATTTCACACTGAACTTTTCTATACTTTTTTCTTATATACATATCCTAGCTTTGCGGACCCATAAAATACAGGTCTTACCCAAATCTACCATTTCTATTTTTATCTATTCCATACCGATCATTTCTATACCTATTATTTGTTTACTTCAATATTATGTAAAATAATTCATTTTAAAAAATTTCTTTATAAGCAAAAAAATTAACATACACCCCTTTTCAGCATTAGGTATAAGCTTATAAAAAATTTATAATTAGGTTTGTTAAACACATATCATTGATAGTTAAGTGGTTTAGTGCGCTGTCACCAGTGTCATTTTGGGGGATTTAAAACACCCCCTTACAAATTTTTAAATATTTTAAATCATGCTGTATTTATAGAAATATGTATAGCAAAAATTTTATAACAGTATCGCAATGTATTATTATTTTATAATAGCAATATTATTATATAATAGCAATATTATTATAAGTACAGCAGAACTAAGAAGATCCTAGACCGTTAAAAACTATAGACTATAAAACACTTAGGGTAACCCATAAAATATGCAACAATAGTTTTATTTTTAAAAAGTAGGAGCTTTAGTTCTTTATGGTGGCAATTTCATTAAACTTAATAAGCTATTTTGATTCTTTATTTAGCATACGACTCTGCGAGGAAAAATTTTGATCTTTTTTGTTTTGTTCATTAGTGAAAATTAGCGTAGCATAATTTATGGATGATCCCTTATTTAAAAGTTTAGATTAGGGATCAGCCAAAAAGTATATGAAGCCAAAAAATAATGAAGTATAATGCTATTTTAATGATTATCTAAATTTTGTTGTTACACACTCGGTTTAAAATGTTTAACAGGGGCATGGTAAAATAGCTGTGAAAACCTAAACTTTCTTATTGTATCAATACTAAATAACTTTAACTTTTAATTACTTTTAAGAAAAAAAGTAATCCATTTCATAAAGTATAAAATTAGAATTTTCAATTGCGTTTTTATACAAAATATACTTTTTAAACCCCCTTACTGTTTTGAAAAAGTTGCCACATGTCATCAGTAGGCATCTGCGTAAGGAGGAAAAATTCCGACAACCGTGTTACTGCATATTTTCGTAAAATACTTACGACCTCTTGCGGTTTTCTGCAAATTTTTCTTTTAATTTTACGACCACTGTGGTTAATCGTGGCTTAGGTCGAGTTTAGTCGGTTTTAAACGGTTTCATTACATTTTGTAAAACATACAAGATACATAAGCAAGTCTATTATAAATGTTATGAATGTACAAATTTTTCCTGCAGGAAAAAAAAGAGAAATGAACAAAAATTTTAGCACATTTATTTGCAGATTGATAGTTTTTAGCATAAAAATTACTAATATCTGTATTTTTTTTATGTTAAAAACTAGAGGCCTATGTAGAGAAAATTTGTTTTTTCATTTTTAACTTTAAAAAGTTCAACGCAATGACACTGCCTCATGAAAAATTTTAAATAGAAAATTTCGTCGAAAATCTTGCTTCATTTTTTGATGGATTGACTTCTGATACCAATTTGAGGCGGGTTTCACGTTCGTCAGACGTTTCCAGCAGTTTGGCCACTCTTTTCACGGACGTCTCATTAAGTTTGGTTAGCCTCAAGTTTCCTTGAAGATAAACAAGCATTTGCACATTTTCTGGGTCAAGTCTTGTCCATAGGTCAATAACAACATTACCAGCAACAGAAAACAGCCCAAAACATTTTTTTATTTTCAAAATTTGGGGAAAAAAATTCTGCTTTCTTGAAAACTTTTCTTAGAAATGGCTCAACTTCTGATTCCTTGGCACCAGTTTGGTTTGGTTGAGCTGACATTTTGTTCAACAAAATTTCAAAGTTCAGTATTCCAAATCACTGTTGTTCGTCTACAACTCACGAAGTAGCAAAGCATGTGATAAATTCCCACCAAAAATGTGTACAGTGATACACAATTTTTTAGTAATTTTTAAAAAAATGACTTAAAAACTGAAAAGAATGCTCATAACATCTCATGTTATAGCAATGATATTTTTCTTAAAATACATGCAATAATTTCCTATAACATTATTACATAATGAACAAATTTTGTTTGTATGCTTGTTTAAAAGAAACTTTTTAATTTAAGTCATCTTTAATTTGGAGAGAAGGATCAAAAAAAAGGATCAGCAACAACAACATGTTTTATTAATTGGTTAACAGCATGTTTTATTAATTGGTTAACAGTATGTTTTAATTATTGGTTAACAGCATGTTTTATTAATTGGTCATGGAGGTGGATGAAAATTTTTTCTTAAATGCAAAATGATCTCTAGAATTCTTCTACCGTTTAAAACCACAGTTAACCAGCCAATCCAGATGCTTTCGCAAAATGATTTGCAACACTAATTTCTGTTTCAATAAAAAATTACGCAGCTTGGAAAACCGCAAAAGCCGCGTAAGTGCGGGATTGATTGGAGTCATGCATAAGAAACGCAGAAGCCTAGTCATCAGCTTGCTTTATTTTTTAATTTTTGTTATTTAAAATGCAAAACAACTTTACAGTTTTATAGATTTTATATTCTATATATAAACATGTTGTATACTCATTTTTCTTACACAAACTCAACTTAATTGTAAAAAAATTAAAAATGTAAAGCTAAAATAATGTAAGTATCTCAAGCATGACACTTAGACAACATATATCCCTCCGTATTTTAATGTTTTTAGAAATTTTAGCTTTTTTAAAAATCTTTTTATTTGTTAAAGTGTTTAATATAGTTAGATATGTTTGTATATAATCTTTACTAACCTTCATAAGTATTTTGTACTTTAAAAAATTAAAAAAAAGAGTTTCAGGTGGTTGAACTTGAACCACAGCTTTTATATTGAGAAGTTTAGCACGCTGACCATTCTACCATGCTGGCACGTTGACTATCAAAATTTTAAACCTGTATAAAAATATTTTTAACAAAAAAAATATGCTGTAGACCAAAAATTAAAGAGAGGTTGACGCAATGCAATTTTCAAGTAAAAGTCAAACTGTAAAACTTGATGTTCAAGTATGTTATAACATTACATAACATGAAGTTTACGTACATTAGATATTTGCATACACTTTTGTTCACATATAAAAAAAAATGCTGCAACTCTTTCTTGCCATTACCTTGGTTGCAATGGGTGCCAATAGTTTTGTGTCAAACATGCTCGAAAGGGCACTAACACTACTACTAATAAGTACAGCAATATTATAAAGATCAATATCACTAGACTTTTTTTTATATAATTCTAGTAAACTTTTGTAGATTTGTAAAAAAAATTTAAGTTTTAAATGGTGTTGTCGACAATATTGCTTAATAAAGAATATTTCGTTGGAAAGAAACTTTTGTTTGTTGCTCTTTCTTTTATAAGCTTTTGAATGAATTATTTTGATTCGTGCTTCAACAGTAGCCTACCATCATGTGTTTGTCCCAAAGTTCTTGGTAACGATCTTAAATTATCTTAAGATATTGATGGAATTGCTCTTTTTGTTCTTCACTCACATCTCATATATCATCTGTGGTTAATACCACAGAAAAACAACATGCCAGCACATAAACAGACATATACCCCATTCATTTTTATTAAATTAATTTTGTTGATTAAGATCATCTCTGTCAGAATATACTTAGCAAACTTTGTTTTCTAAAAAGCAGACTTTAAATCAAACAGTTTTTTAAGAAAAAGAAAACAAAATAACAAAAAAAAGGGATATTTTTTTATCCCAGATTAAAAGATCTTTATATCTAGATAGTAACTGCCCAAACCCTAAGTTAATGTAAGCAATGACACAGATGGCTATTTCAGTTTAATGTCAGCAATGACATATTATGCAAACCTGAGTAGGGATTGTTTATATAAAACTAATGAGAACTAGCGATTTTAAATATCAAACCTCTAAATAAATAGTCTATTTTAACAAAAGATATTTACCTGATCGGCTTACCACCTTTGTACATTTTAATTCTGTTTATAGTAGCCTTGCTTCGCATTCTTGAACCCACATCTGGTTTCGGCCTATCTAAAGAAAACAAAAAATTTATTTGGTATATATATTCAACCCTCAGAATTAGGAAAAATGAGGTGGGCAATAATTTTACAACCTCAATCTTTTATAGGTCGGAATCAGGTCAGCAAAAATTATTTAATACAAAGGTCTTACCATAAAACAAAAAAAATGAGGTCAGCAATTTTTTTGCTGACCTTGAACACATTTAGGTCTGCCGTTAGGTTGGTATTGCTGAATGCCAACCCTAACTGCGAGGGTTGTTTATTTATATAGATAAATGTGGCTCTTCAAAAAATATATTTGAAAATTATCTACTCTAACTCCCTAATGTTCTATATTGTAAAATATAGAACAAATACATATTGTAAAATAACAAAAAATTTCAAATACATCTAGATAAAAATATTTTAAGAGATAGCACAAGACCCTTAAACATCAGATAGGTTCATATTTTTACCAAACAATATTTTCTTTAAAAGTATGTAAACCTGGGTTTCAAAAGAAGCAACATTTTATAAAAAAGTCAAATATAATAATATCACATAAAACATTTTAAAAAAATAATTTAGAAAAAAAGGTATTAAAATTAAAATAACTATTTTATACAATGAATAATTTTATATAAGATTCTATTGCTTAAAAACTATGCTTTTTATGCAATAAAAAAATGCAATAAAAGGTTATTGTTTTCAAAATTCTGCTGCATCGACTAAGGGTTTAGACTGAGACAACTTTTTTTCTTTTTTTTCACTACTCTTTGCTTTTTTCTTCGTTTTTTGAAAAAGCCAAATGGAACAAAGTAAGCAAAAAAAGTGAGCAAATGCAGATTTAAATCCCAATTTATAAATAGTATTCAACGCCCAAATACAATCGAAAACGGCCTAGAATAGCCCCTGTATATATATATATATATATATATATATATATATATATATATATATATATATATATATATATATATACACATATAAATAATCATTTTCTTTAAAAAAGAAACTATAAATAAACTACAAAAAATATATATTTTATATTTTCTTTAAAATATATTTTTATTCTTTTCAAATTTGCTAGATTATATAGTTTATTTCACTAGTCTATAGTCTTGCTAGAGAAGGGCATGAGCATATACATGCTCATATGTACATGTTTATATATATATATATATATATATATATATATATATATATATATATATATATATATATATATATATATATATATATATATATATATATATATATATATATATAATATGTTATATATTGCATATGAGCATGTACATGCTCATGCCCTTCTCTAGCAAGACTATAGACTAGTAAAATTGCAATAAAAAATATTATAGTAAAGTGAATTTATACATATGCATAGAGTTTATACATGTAATAGGGTGCCTTAACTGTTCTTGAAAATATTTTAAAAATTAGGAGGCAAGGTATAGCCAAAGATGAATTTATTATTACCAGGATTACTGCTACCCATTTTTTTGTTGAATGTGTTTCTGTCGGCATGCTTTCTCATAGGTTTACCCATTTTCGAATAGGCAACAGGCAACAATCAAAGGACTGCAGTAGAAAGAATGCGTTGGATTCTAAGCGGTGTATATTTAACATGAAAAATTACGAAGTGGTCTCACTGACTAAAATACTTTTGTTATTGTTTTCAGAATGAAGCGACTACGAACAAGTCCGGTTATTTTTATTTTTTATTTTATTTATTTTTTATTTTTTACACCTTTCCTATTTTCACTGCGTTGTAAGTATGTCCGAATTATAACTACACAAGTATTTCAGATTCATAGGGACTTATTATTATTTTTTTTTTATTTTGAACTTACTTATTTGACTTTGATTTATTTGACTTATTTGAGCACTTTCCTAGTGGGTAAGGACGTAAAAAAAACGTATTTTAAACGTCTTATACACGTTTTGGACGTCTAATAAACGTCTTTTGAACGTTTTGGACGCCTTTAGAACGTTCAAAAGAAAAACGTCAAACATTTTAGAAAACTCTGGAAAACGACGAAATAGGCAACAGCAATCCATGGAACACGACAGAAACCAACGAAAATCACATCATAGGAAACGCTCAACCCGTTCCCCAGACCATTCCGACTTCCAGCGACCCTCGAGATCACACGCAAGATCATCCGCACCCCCATCCCCAGGGGCGAAGAGCAACTCTAAAGTTTACAAGGTCAATCACGTCACTCCCTCGGCCATGGGGACCATTAATTTTCCAGCCGGACCAACGGTCCGGCTGCCAACCGGGAACAAACAATCAAGCAATCAATCAGAATTGACAAATAAATATAAGATAAATGCAACGGAAAAAAAAAACAATATAAAAGTTGCTTGATCACTTGGATGATGAGAAATAATTTATTAAATATTTTTCCTCACTTTGTTTAGATTTAATTAACTTAAATGTTAAAGTGTTTTAAATATACTTAAAACGATTCGATAATTTTAAACAGATTAATTGTTAGCAAATTGAAAATACTGACAAATTGTGTTTTAAAATTAATTATAAGATAATCGAAAAAAATGCGCTTTACGATATAGCATCATAATACTTTGCAATTAAACAAATCATTTTAAAGCAAAAAGAAATTCTAAGTGATTACGAAAATTATATCGAAATATCGTGAAATAATTTGATAACAAATTAAAAAGTTTAAGACAAAATAGAAAATAACTTACATAACTATAATAATTAAATAACTTAAGGTGGTAGACTGTTAAAAAAAATATTTGTGTATCTGACAATTTCCGCTCGTAATTTTTGGGCAAATACAGGTGCTTTTAATCCTAAAACATCCTAAATTCTTGGCAAAGATATCTCAAAAAGTATAATGCATTAAGTTCTAATTTTTTGCTAAAGTTTTATTCTTTTTATGTAGACAAGCATCTTGAGATAAAATTTTTTGCTGAAAATTTCTTTATTTTAAAGCATATTAAGATTTTTCAATTCGCGTAATTAAAAATCAAGTTTCTATATATAATTGACCAAAAATTGTTGTTTTTTTATTTGTATTTTTAAATTTTTTTTTATCTCAGAACATAAAGCTCATTGTAAAATTTTAGAAATTGTTTTTTTCATACGAAACAACTTGAATATAATTGAAAAAAATGAATATTTTAAATGCATATCAACTTTTTAAAAAAATTTTAAAAACAACTTTTTAAAAAAATAAATATTTTAAATGCATATCAAATGTCTTTAATATTTTATGTTTCATGTTTAAATGTAGAGAAAATTTCTCGCCAAATGTATTACAAAAAAATGTATGAAACTTAAAAAAATGAAACTTAAAAACTTCGAATGAATAACAATCTTTTTGCCCCTTTTTTGCCCCGTTTTTGTCGTAAAAGCAAAAACCAGTTTTTTGTTTCTTATTGAGATCTTTATCTCTGGAACAAAATAGTCTTACCAAATTTTGATTTTTCTACCCAACTGACTTTTGCTTAATTCAAACAGAAACTTAAAAAACAGACTACAGACATTTTTATTAAAATTAGCTATATATTGTAAAGGGCTTCATGACAAGATCCTCATAAACTTTTAGAAGTTCTGTCGTTACTAATGTAAAATGTAAAATTGTAACGAATCTCGTAATAGTAACGAAAATAGAAAAATGCATAAAAAATTTCAAATATTAACTATAGAAACTTATAAAAATAGGTTAAAATCCTCTTTTTTATATACTGTTTCTCTTTATTGTTGTGTTTATCATCGAACCTTTTCCTAGTTGTTCTAAGATTTTTTTAAATTTCCATCTTTAACTAGCGGTTACTAAGAGCGTTGCTAGGAGAAACAAAATTACCCTGCAAAATTAAATCACTTTTATCAGTTCTGAATTTTTTTTTCTTATATGAAGATCTATATATTTTTAGGCTCTGCAATAGCTACTTTTATAAATAATGCGTCTCTTGAAAAATCTAAAAATGTATTTCTTTTTTAGAAAAACTTTTAAAAAGTTTAAACACCTTTTTTTCAGTTGGACTAAAAGTAGAAAATAATAACTATTAAAAAAATCTTTTTAAAAAAAATCTTTTCTCCAATTGGACTAAAAAGAAATTTTTTTTTTCTTTAGATATGACCTAATTGAGCTTAATTTTATAAAGCTGTTCCATGGAAATTATAAAATTTTTACAGCTTCTAAACTTATTAAAACGCAAGAACACTTAAAAAGGGAAATTTTTTTCTTATAAATTGTTTTACTTTCATATTCATCCTGTTTGTTTGATTTTCTCCTCAGCTAAGGTACTTTCATATTCATCCTGTTTGTTTGATTTTCTCCTCAGCTAAGCCCCCCCCCTCCCTTACTATTTCATTGTTTTTGCATTTCAATAAGTTTAGGAAATGTAAAAGTTTTTTGTATTTATTTTTATATGTAAAATTTTTAAGGAGCAGTTAATCGGACTAAAAAGGAGAAAAAATTATTTTCTCCTTTTTAGTCCAATTAAAGAAAAAGTAGGGGAAGGTTGCGTAAGATGAGCAGGTTCTTAAGATGGTATAACCTCTTTTACGGGTAAGATAATGATACTTTCGCGATCTTTTTTGTTTAAGGATATTCATACAAGTTCGACGGTGTAATTTATTTTAAATTCTTGGTTGTTTAGTTCATATTTTTTGAATGTTTTACTGTTAAAAAAATTTACCATCCCCTTTATAGTTTTTCATTATTCAATATTTTGTAATTACGTCAGAACGAGACAAGGTCATCAAAAATTTATAACATCCTCAATATTTTATGCTCATCTACTAATTTCATGGGTTACTTGAGATAATACATAAGCTATTGTCATATTATTTAAATTATGATAGTACTTTTTATATATTATTATTATTATTATTATTATTATTATATTTTCTTTGCCGTATAATTAAATTTACAATGAGAAAAAACCATTCATGTATAAAAATTGGCCGGAGCAAGAAGAAGACATAAACTGTCTTATCGCCAAGCCCCGTTTACATTAACGTCACAAAGTTACAAGTTAAAAACTAAAAGGTTAAAAATTGAAGTACAATACAATATTAGTTCGACAAATATAAGACACAAGTAATAAATCGAATAAATGTTACTTGTCTGTTCAAAATTAATAGTATATATATTTTTTATTTTAATAAGAAATAAACAAGATACACAAGACAATAGTAAATGAGTAGTGATGACTTTTTCAGGTTTAATTATTTTTGGTGATTTTAGAAGAAATCTTTAAAATCGAAAGTTTTTTCTAATAGAAAACGTTTAGATTCTCTTTTGAATTGTTCTAAGGAGATGCCTCGAAGAATTTTATTTTTAATTATATTTTTTAAAAAACCTTTCCATATAAATGGTCCCCGGTATTGAATTTGAAATGAATTGAGTTTTAAATAAGATCTTGGAATAACAAAATTATCAGATGAAAATTTAGTGGGATATTTATGAGATATTTCGGTAAAGTAAGACTGAAATATATTAGGAGATAACGCATGTTTTGTTTTAAACGTAAATAGGATAACTTGGTATATATTAAGTTTGTAAATATTAAGCACATTAAGTTTCTTTAAAAGAGATTCACCATTAACAGTTCTGTTAACGCCAAAAATAATCCTACAAGCATGTTTTTGTTTGCTATAAATTTTTTTGAGCTTCCCATAATTGGTACTTGCCCATGCAAGATTACAATAGGAAAGGTAACTATGAATAAATGAGAAATACAAATACTTGATGACGTTGCTTAAGATGATACGTTTTTAGACGCTCAAGATGAGATACGGCTTTTTATTAAGAAAAGCGCGTTTTTTTAAAGTTATTCTCGGCGGAGCTTTATATTGGTATTTCAAGAGCAAAAATTTTTTCATAAAAAAAGTATCTTTAACTTTTTAAGAAGTTTATTATTGTTTTTTTTAATGGTTAAGATAATTACTTTTTACTTAAGTTTAGCCCTTGAAGATAAAATTTTATTAAAATTTTTTTGTGCGATTTTTTTTTGTTATTTTGAGTTTTTTTAAGTTCCATTAAAAAAAGCTCATCTTAGGAAACTGATTTTTGAGAGGAAAGATTTCCTAAGATGATTGGGTGTGTTGAAGAAAACGCAATTTTTGGTATGAAGATTTTTTTTTTAATGAATTATTTATTTATATTCTTTGAGAGGAAAGATGAAATTATCATTATTCTTAAAAAAATAAAAAATATTTTTGTAATCTTTTGGGAGCAAAACACATTACACTGAAAACATGCTCAACTTACGCAACCTTCCATTATATATACATATATATATATATATATATATATATATATATATATATATATATATATATATATATATATATATATATATATATATATATATATATATATATATATATATATATATATATATATATGATAACCTAATTGAGAGAAGGAGGGGGAAGCATTTGAAAATCTGGAAATTATTTCAAACATTAAAAAATAATGGACCCATCACTGCTGCTTTGGAGAGTAGTGTAAAAACGATAGTTAAAGCTTCTTTTCCAATGTCAAAAACATTCGATCCCCATAATTAACTGATAAATGCCGATCGTTTTACGCCTAGAAAATTCAGTAATTTAACTTTTGAGAACTGCTAAGCAACTTTCTATACTAATT